CACGCCAGCATACCTTTACGGCCTTGCTTATAGGAGAAAAGAGCGTTCCCTTAGGATACAGAATCCTCGGTCTACTTAAAGACCATTTCTCACCTTAAAACATAAAAATACTTAATTCATAACATTTTTATGATAAGGCAGTAAATGTACAGTATTAAATAACTAAAAATAAAAAATATACATTGAATTATAATTTAATGATCAGCTTGATCAATAATCAGAATATTAATACTCTTACAACGCTCTTCTCTTAAAAATCTTCTTATAATTTTACCTGTTTTTGTCTTTGGAAGTTCATCAAAAAACCTGACATCATAATCTCTTAGAATCCTTCCAAAATATTTAACTAGTAGCTCTCTAATATCACATATAACTTTTGCTTCTTGTGCTTTATTTATTAACACTATATTTATACACACTTTTTGTCCACTAATTTCATCATTAATACCTACAACCGCCAACTCACTAATACCCCTACAAGATGATAATATACTCTCTATCTCAAGAGTGCTTATTCTGTGCCCACATACATTAATTACATCATCACACCTACCTAAAATGTAATAATTACCCTGTTCATCACATATAGCCTCATCTCCTGTGTAATAATAACCAGGAAAAGGATTCAAATAGGTACTTTTGTACCTTTGATGATCATTTAAAAGTGTCTTGGCTAAAGATGGCCATTTATAAGAAAATAACAATATTCCTTTTTCATTCGGTGCACATTCATACAAGTCAAATGAATCAGGATTGACTTTTACTATTTTAGGTTTTACACAATACGCTGGTAGACCTACACCTTTTAAATTACAGTTAGGAATCGGAAGTGGACTTATCATAATGGTACCTGTTTCTGTCTGCCAGTACGTATCAATGATAGGAATACCGTTATTAGTTATTTCTTTTAAGAACCTGTGCGGCTCTTCATTTAATAGTTCTCCTACACTCCCTATAATTCGTAATGCAGATACATCATATTTATTTTTTATATCAATTATACTTATATTGTTTTCTTGCATAAACTTCTGTATCATTCTAATAACAGTCGGTGCAGTATAAAAATGCGTAACTCTGTTTTTAGATATAATATCAAATATTCTCATATATGATGGATAAAAAGGAACACCAACAAACACTACTGACGTACCACCCCACAACAAGGGGCCATAAATTGAATGAGAAAAACAAGCCAACCAACCAATATCAGCTGTTGAAAAAAAGATGTCACGATCTTTCCCTTCATAACCAAAATTTAGTTTTATAGTCATCATAGTTCCAAATAAAAACCCTGCTGTTGAATGAACAATGCCTTTAGATCTTCCTGCCGATCCACTAGTAAAAATTATAAAAAAATCATCATTAGCATCTACACTTGTACAAGGCACATAATCATAAAATAATTTACTCTCATTACTCCATAAAAATATATTACTATTATTAACATTAATATGCTCTTGATTAAAAACCAATGTATAACATTGATAATCTATCTGTAACAGGGCTTCATTTACCGTTTCAAAATATTCTGTAAATTTTTCTCCACGCATGGCATAATCCAATGTTATTACTAACTTCGTATTCGTACCTTTTATCCTCTCGCCAATAACGTGCGCACTAAATCCACCAAATACGAAATGCGAAACAAGACCAAGTCTACCACATGCAATTACACAAGAATAAAAATCTAACGAATTATTCCCATAAAATGTTACAACATCTCCTTTCTTAAGCCCTATTCTTTTATAAAAACTGGCTATTTGTAACACCTTTTCCATTAATTCTCTGTACGTAACATACATGTAAGTATCATCATTGCTTACACAAATAAAAGCTATTTTCTCAGGATGTTTATTAACATAACGATCTAGAATATTGTAACAAGGATTTAACATTCCATTCACAAAATAAAGATCTTTCTTTTCATCGTACGCTTTTTCAAAAGGCCTATCCCAATCTAGATATTCGTAAGCATGTTCAGTTAAAAAATTTTCTGTATCGTTTATTGACCTATTATACATTTTTTTGTACTCAGAAATATTTTTCATTGCAATTTAAGGGATTGTCTATTTATGCAAATTAATAAATTAAAAATTCATTAAATTTACATTTTAATTAATTTTAATTAAATTCTAAATTACAAAATACTAACAAATTTCCTAATTACAAAACATTACTGATATTAATGAAATTAATTTGTAATCTTTTTCATTTATATATTTAATTAGTGTCAACGTGTGATAAGTAATTTCTACTTTAAATTATGCTAATTATTTTTACTACAATAATAAAGTTGTCTATAATTTATTAAAACGTGTTTTTAAAGCAGTTTTCGCAATTTTAAAAATTAATTAAAATTTTTGGTTGTCATTAAAATTTAATTTATACATTAATTAAATTAATGCCACAATGGTCAATATTCACTTCTTCCCAGTTTTCTAAACTACAAGATTTTTTTACTATTGTAAATAAATGACCACCATTACCAGCACCAGTGATTTTAGATTCTATTCCCTGCTCTCTAAGACGTCTTACTTCATTTTTCATTTTTTCTGGAACAACACCCAAATCTTCAAAAATATCTTGAGCTTTTTTGATTAATGCATAAAGTTCACAGAGTTTAAAAGGCCTACTAAGCAATTCATATGCCTTTTCAGAAATCACACTTAACATTTCATAATTCTTTTGTTTATTATTTAAATCTTGTTTAATAGTTTTACACGTATCTTTTGATATATTACTATTATAAATTAAAATTTTATACATTGAAATATATTCAGCTGTCATTTTTTTTACTTTTTTATTTTTAAATGATATCATTCCCCCATATCTTAATGTGGCACAATCAACACCTGAGCTTTTTCCATGAAAAATATCTTCAAAAGTGTCTGCTTCTTTAAAAATTTTTTCATTGTAAAAATTTATCTTTTTTTGATGGTATAAAGCAATGGAACTAAGAATGGAAATAGCAGCACTACTTCCTAATCCACATCCTAAAAAATATTGGATATCTATAATACCATTATAGTTTGAAGATGTAGACATTACTTTAGAATCTTTACCTACAGAAAATACAAATACTGGATTGTTTGATTCTTTAATTAATAAATTTATGCAATTTTCCTTTTTTTTATATTCGGGCATATATAAAACACAATATTTGTTTATGCAAACTGATATACATCTTCCACCAATTAAGACTGAATGTTCACCAAATAAAATAAGTTTTAGTGGGCTTTTTGCAATTCTGTTCATAAGGGATTTAAATATGATTTTAAATATAAAATTAATTTAATTATATTTTTAGTGTAAAGTTTCAATTTTACATCAAAATTTCAAACATATTTTTATTTTTATTGTAAAAAATAAATTTATTAAATATATTTAAATAATAAAATTTTATTAAAATATGACCTTGTTGTGTATAAAACAAAAATAAAGTAAATTGTGCTAAAATTTATTAGCAAATTTATTAAATAAATTATTTTTTTTTACAATAAAAAATTAATGTAATTTTAATAAACTTTTAATCATCAATAACTTGTTTGAAAGATAACGGTTCAAATTTGTATCCTCCTCCTTTATAGAATTTAGAATGAAATTCTATCCAATTAAGTCTAAGTGCATGTAAACAAGATCCCAACCCTTCTAATCCTATTAACAGCCCAAATGTTAAAGCCATAAATATTGGGAAAAGTACTATTTGTAAAACATAATTATTTAACCCAATGGTAAATTCTACTAAAACCTTAGTTAGCTGTGCATGAGCAAGTGATACAGCCCATAATCTTAAATAAGATGATGAATTAGATATCAAACCAATACCAAATTCTATAGTATGTATTCCCGAATTCATCCAAATATCTAATGTGTCTTCACTTTTCACAAGCTTCTTTTTAAATAAATATATCGGCTTTGCAAAGAACATCCAAGGCAAGGAAATAAAAAGTATAAACATCATGAAAAGTTGGACATACATCTGCCCAGAATAAAGAGGATCTTTTATATTAAATGGACTAGTATACATTAGAACAAGTGTAGATATAAGTGACGGATTAATGTTTTTTGATAAATCAATATAGAGCCACTTATAAACAATTAAAAATACAAGATATCCTAAAAATGCAACATATGCTAGTGCCTGGGGAATAACAACACAATATAAATCAACATAATTAGAAAAATAAAATGCATTACAAAAAGATAACACTACACCTAGTCCCATATGAAGAAACCCAATAACAATTGATAATTTCATTTTAACAGAATTTGTAAATTCCATTTCATTTTTCGCTCCATGCCAATCAGGATCTAATCCAAATGGATAAATATCATCTGAGGAAGACCGATTTTTTATTCTACCTCCAAATAAATTTAAAGGAAAAGATGTAATATCTGAATATAAAAAACCAAAAAGAATAGAAGCCAATCCACATAAAAATAAAACATATCTACCGTCTATCAACAGTGTAAATGATTTATATTTCTTATAAAGTTTTTCTTTATGTTTAATCATATACCAAGCCATAAATACAAGAATAATTCCATGAAAAATATCTCCAAACATCACACCAAAAAGCATTGGAAATAAAAAGATCATAAAAATTGCAGGATTAATTTCTCTGTATGATGGTACACCATAAACATTAATTAAATCCTGAAAAACTTCTGTATATTTATTTAACTTAAATGCAGAAGGTGGATCTTCCGTTACATCTGTATTATCTTCAAACACAAAATGCCAATCTGAATTTTCGGATGTTTCTGAAAGCTTTTGAAGTCTATTATAATCATCTTCTCTTATCCACGCTTCTCCCATCAAACTATCTCTACCTTTATCAAAATTAAATTTATTTAAAGTGTTATATATCTTACTCTCCTTATCAACATAATATTTTAGTGTTAAATACATCTGTGAAATTTTTTCAACTTCATTTTTCATTGCTTCTTTATTAAAATCTTCAACATTTTCAATTTGACTAATAACACTAGTAAGTGCTAATAAATTCTTTTTAGGTTCAGTATATTTTTCCATATCTAATATACGTCCACCCAAAGATACAAAAATTTTATTCATTTTATCTAACGCTTCTTTTCCATGTGTAAAAATTATAAAAATAACTTTTTGATGTTTATCATTATCTCTAGTTTTAATAACTATATTTCTTCTTAATGCTTGATGCAGTATTTTCTTTATTAAAAATTTTTGGCCTCTATCAACAATCCCAGTAATAAATTCAAATTTCATTTTCTCTGAATTCGCACCAACTTCAGAAACAAATCTTTCCATATCTTCCAGCATATGTAAATCTTCTTTCAATTTTATTAAATTTGAATGTGTTTCTTTTTTAATTGTTTTAAGCTGTACCATTCTATTATAAAATTTATTAATGGCTTCTTCTACTGAATCTAAATCACTATTTTTAACTTCAGTCAAATCAACATTTTCTACTTCTTTTCCAAGAAAAGAAAGACGTGATTGTAGCTTTTCAATATGCTTAAGTTCATTAATATAAAGTAATTTGTCACTTTTTATAGTATCATTTAAATTTCTAAAATGTGCTATCTCATTATCACCAAGTTCTGTAATACACTTTCTGGCATTATCTTTACTCAAATATAATGTTACTAATTTCATTTTTTCACTTCTTAACATTTATGTTTTTAAAATTGACGGGCTTATTTTTTTTATAAAACTCGTGATAAATAATTCGACCAATTAAATTATGCAGAAAAAAATTATTTAAATACCCACACAATTTGTTTGTTTAAATAAAAAAGTCAATTATTTATTTTTTGTAAATCTGAAATACAAAGTCTTGATCCATGATTAAGTCTTTCAAGTTTGTCATCTATATCGAGCTCTATAGATTTTATGGCCAATCCTCTAACAGAACAAATTTTCATTTGTTGTAAAGAAATTTCTGCTGTTTCAACTTCTTTTAAACATAAATTAAGATAGGGATCTACATTTATTAATAATCCTGATATCTTCATGTTATTTTTTAGAGTTATATTTATTTTTGTGTCAATTTTTGTCAAAAAGAATTCATAAAATAGCATTAATCAAGGGTTAAAGGAGATCTCCTTTTTTAAACCAAATTAAACCTTAACATTTTACCCATGGAGCAACAATCAAGAATTCAAAAGATTATTGCAAAAACAAATTGTTCATACAATCATGCTTTAGAAGCAGATAATGAATCAAAGGGTAATTTAGACCTTGCTTATGAAATAGCAAAGAAAAAGTCTAATGAATTATACGTAGGAGGCGGCAGTAGTGGGTTGGCTGTTGAATCTGGTGATATAAAAAATGAAATTGTAGGCTACAAAAATGGTTTACTTGTTAACAATAAATTTTATGATTATTCTGAAAATGACAATATGAGGCTGAAAAAGATGCTTGAAAAAAACGAATTTGATGCAAATATTTTGGGCGTAAATGATTCTAGAGCAGAAGTTGTATATAAAAATTGTGAGGATGAAATGTACCAAAACAAAGAAAAAAAAAAGGAAAAAACTTGGGATGAATCAAAAAAACATGTGCTTAATTTTGATTCAAAAATTGAAATATCTTGTCCTGACGAAATAATAATGGATAAAGATGGTGATATAACATTTAAAATATTTGTAGATGGAAGAAGAATACCGGTTGTTATGAATAATAACATGAAGGTATCTGATTTGTACTATGAGTTAAAAAAATATACAAAAAAAAATATTGTATTAATGAAAGGAAACAAAAAGGTTGAATTCTCTGATGACATTACCTCCCTTAAAAGAAATATGTTAATTATGCGCGAAGAAAAATAAAATTTTGATTTTATATGAGCTTATAAATGCATAATTCTATTAGATACTTTAAATTATAAAGTATAAGTTCATTAAGTTTCTTTTCTTTTTCATTTATCTTTTCTGAAAGTAGTATTAATATTTTACCAATTTTATCTGAAGTGCCTTTTTCCACAACTTTAATTAAAACGTCAGTCAGGCATATTTTAAATCTTAAACATAAATCGTCACTAAAAATGTAATTAAAAACTTCATCGATGATACAATCAAATGATTTAATAACAAGAGCGTATAATCCATCACTTTTAACTAAATCATATCCATCATAAGACAGTATTGTGTCAAAATATTCTTTGTATTTTGCTTTTATTAATCTATCACTAGCTTTATTAATAAGTAAAGGTAACTTATGAAATACCTCATCTAACCTTACACGATTTTCCTCTTTAATAATTTTAATTCCTTCTTGTAAATAATTTATTGGTGTTCTATGCACAAAAATAAATTTATCAATTTCTATTTTCTTTTTAGAATCAAATTTACTTTTTATTTTTGCCTGTTGTTTACTCTTAAAGCATTCAACGGGCATTAAATCTTTAAACTTGTCTAACTCTCCAAATCCTTGCATATTAAAAGATGAGTCTTTGAATAAAGCAGCTGTCAAAATTATTGAATGCTCATAAATTGGAGATAAAGGATTCTTTAGATGTCTAGAAATTCCTTTTATAAAAATATTTGGATCCAAGTTTTTATGCTCTAAAATTTTTCTTGTAATTTTAACACTTTCATTTACATCTGTATTTCTATAAAATGAATCAGCAAGTGAAGTAGGAGAGTCTCGATCAATATCGCATATATTTAAATTTTCAGTTTTAAAATTGGTGTCTAAAAATTCTTTAATACTGTCTGTAATCTTATGCATGGGTTTAAATTTTATTCTAAAATTTCTCTTTTCTAAAAATCTTGTCTAATAATCAACCATAAAATTTTTATATACAGTTGGTTTATTTTTCTTCAAAATAAATATCAAATGCATAATTTCTATATTAAATGACAAGTATACAATAATGTCTACTTTAAAGAAAAATTACTTATTTAATGACCCTTAAAATGGATAGAAAGGCACTTAAAGAAGAGAAAAAGAAACAAAAACTTGAAAAATTTTTGAACAAAAAAACAACACAGTCTAAGATATCTAAAGCACCTAAACCTGCTAAAAATAAATCTTCTAGTGGATATGATCCAATGCCTGTGGAACAAAAATGGAATAATTATTGGCTGTCAAATAACTTGTTCGAGCCACAGGAAAGAAGTAATAAATTTGTGATGTGTATGCCACCTCCAAATATAACTGGCAGTCTTCACATTGGACATTCTATGATGATAGCCATACAAGATGCTATATGCAGATACATGAGATTAATAAATTATGAAGTGTTATATTTACCAGGTACTGATCATGCGGGAATAGCTACACAAACTGTAGTCATGAAGCAATTAGAAAAAGAAAAAAAGACATACAATCGAGAATCTTTCCTAGAAGCTACTTGGAAATGGAAAGAAAATTACGGATCGAGAATATTAGATCAGTTTAAAAGACTAGGCACAAGTGCAGATTTTAGTAGACAAAAGTTTACAATGGATGCTGGTATGAATAAAGCTGTTACAGAGGCATTTTGTTCATTATACGAAAAAGGTCTTATTTACAGAGATAATAAAATAGTTAACTGGTGTTGTAAATTACAAACTACATTAAGTGATATAGAAATTGATTACTTAAGTGTAGGAAAAAATACGATTTTAAAAATTGATGGACGTGATTATGAATTTGGTGTTATATACGTTTTTAAATATCCTGTAAAATTTGTCAAAGATGGTTACGAATCAGAAGGTCACATAGAAGTAGCTACAACGCGACCCGAGACAATTTTAGGGGATGTTGCATTATGTGCTAATCCAAAAGATGCACGATATACTAAATATGATAAAATAATACCGCGTAATCCGATTACCGAAGAAGAACTTTCTTTTGTTTTTGATGAAGCAGCTGAAATGGATCTTGAATCTGGTGTTTTAAAAATTACCCCCGCACATGACCCAATTGATTTTGAAATAGGAAAAAAGAATAATTTAAAAAATATTAAAATATTTGATAATCAAAATAAAATAATAATAGAAGGAAACTATTACAAATTAAAAAGACTTGATGCTAGAGATTTAGTAGTACAAACATTAAAAAACAAAAATCTTTTTGTAGAAAAAAAACCTTATGAACAAGTTTTACCGATGTGTTCTAGATCTAGTGATCTTTTAGAACCCGTCATTAAAGAACAATGGTGGTGTTCATGTTCTGAAATGGCCAAGAAAGCCATCGATGCTGTTAAAACAGAGCAAATCAAAATTTACCCCGAGGAATCAAAAGATGACTGGTACAGATGGTTTGAAAATCCAAGAGACTGGTGTTTATCAAGACAATTATGGTGGGGACACAGAATACCTGCCTATAAGACGCCTGATGGTGTGTGGACAATAGCTAGAAACAAAGAACAGGCTATTCGATCTTATAAAAAAAACAATCCTTTAAATGCGCACTATCAAGAATCCGACTTTGTACAGGATGAAGATGTTTTAGATACTTGGTTTTCTTCAGGTCTTTGGCCTTTTGCTACTTTGGGATGGCCAAATAAAAATCAAGACTTAGACAAATATTTTCCAACTTCCTTACTTGAAACCGGAAAGGATATATTATTTTTTTGGGTAGGTAGGATGGTCATGATGTCTTTAGAATTAACTGGAAAAGTCCCCTTTAAGAAAGTTTTGCTTCATGGAATAGTACGAGATGCTTATGGGAGAAAAATGAGCAAAAGTCTTGGTAATGTAATTGATCCTATTCACGTGATAGATGGTGCCAGTATTGAAACCCTTTTAGATGCCCTAAAATTAGGAAATCTTACTAAAGAAAACTTAATTAATGCAGAATCTGCAGTAAAAAAAGATTTTATAAATGGTATTACTGTATGTGGTGCAGATGCATTGCGTTTTACACTCCTTTCCTACATGAATGGCATTAATGACATTAAATTAGATATTGAAAGAGTCAAAGGTAATAGGAAATTTTGCAATAAAATATGGAATGCTGCCCTTTTTGTTAAAAAGATTGTAGATGAAATTATTTCCTCTGATTCTTTATCTTATCAAGATTTACTTAATCTAGATTTGTCTAATGAAGATGATAAATTATTAGTATGGCTGATACAAGAAAGAAATAAAGTGATTTCTACCACACATAAAGCATTTAAAGAATACAAATTTATGTCAGCAGTTCAATCTATTCATCAATTTTTTCTATATGATTTTTGTGATGTTTACATAGAAATAGTAAAAAAAATCAAAACTAAAAAATATATCCAAGCATGTTTTATGATGCTTATTGATTCTATAAAAATATTCAGTCCGTATATGCCCTTCATTACAGAAGAGATTTATTCCCAGTTTTTCGATAATTCTTTGATGTATACAAGTTATCCTGAAATCATTCATAACAAATTTTCTACTAATTTTAAGTCTACGCTTTCTAAAATAAAAGCCATTAGAGCAGATATTGAAAAATATGGTAAAGAGAAAGTTGATGTCATTTTGGATGGATGTGAGTGTTTTGATAAGATCGACATACAGTTTATATCTATTTTGATACCCAACATTAATACTATCAAGTTTGGAGAAGGATATGAAGTAAAAAAAGTAAATTAAATTTGTTAGTTTCTGTTATTTTACTTAAAGATATATTTCTACTTAATAATTTGAATAATATATATCATTAATAAATTATATTTTACATTTATAGTGTAAAACTTATTTTTATGTTAAACCCCTTAAATGTTTATCTGCTCTGATAATAATTCTGTAATTGTAGATATCGGTACAGAAACATATAAGATTGGTTACTCTGATAAAGAATATCCTATGTATTTTAATTCTTCAAAAACATTTAAAAATCAATTTTTATCTCCCGTTTCCTGTTCTACAATAACTAATATCGATTCTTATATGACACTTCTAAAAGACAATTTACCTAAAGATACTTCTTATCTTTTAGTATGCGAAAATACTTTTGAGAATGAATCAGTAAAAAATAAACTCTTGGCTGAAATTATGGAAGAAAATCTTGCTTCGTCTGTAATTTTTTTTAAAAGTGCTATTCTTGATACTTTTTCATACAGCAAAACAACTGCGCTTGTTTTATCTTTCAGTGGAGGATCATCACAAATTGTTTCTGTGGTAGAAGGATACGTTACCTACAGAAAAAAAATAGACTTTGGTTGTGAAAACATCACTGAAATGTATTTAAACAAGATTGATAAAAATAAGCTAGATAACAAATTCTCGTCATTTTCTTTTTATGCTAATGATAATTTTCTAAATTTTAAAAAGTCAGAATATGCGAGATTAAAAAAGGAAGATTTCTATTTAAAATGTCATGACATAAGTTTTAAACATCAGTTTGATTATTTACATAGAGGCATGTTTAAAATATTAGAACTTCTTGATGAAGTCTTACAGAACAATTCACCTGATAAAAAAAGTGCTCTTCTAAATAATATTATTATATCTGGAGGTGGTTCTTATATTAATAATGTTCTATCTATTTGTCAAAATATTATTTCTACTAAATATGGTAAAGATAATATTTGTGTTATTAATCATCCTTCAAGATTCCATACATATTTTGGAGGAGTGTTAGCAGGAAATATAGGAAATTTTAAGAGTTTGAATATAGGAAGAGCAGATTATGCAGAAAGCGGTGTAAATATTTTTAAAAAGAAAAATCACTCATGGTTGATAAATAAAAATATTTAACTAAAAGCGTATTTATATTTTTCATTCTTATACCCAACAGCTACTGTAATTGAAGATTTTTTTTTTACAAAATATATTTTTTAATTTACTGATTGACTATAAAAATGAAAAACTTATGCGGCATAAATTCAAAAAAAAAATTAATTTAGTTCTAAATCTTTTATAGAAAAAGTAACATAAAAAATTTTATATTGGCAATATTGTCTATCTATAAATTGTCAGAATAAACAAACTTTTAAATATTTTTTAAGCTAAAAAATTCTACTTATGTTATTAACTTTAAATAATTAAACCACTCATGACATATTTTAGCGCTTGTAGGTCCAATTATTAGTACTGTATTACTTCCAGAAGGTATTTGTGTACGTCCAGCATCGTGAATTTTAGAATATTTTATTCCAAAAATATGTGCCTTATTTGATAGCTCTTCAATATCACCGAAATCTCCTTCATAAATATTTATCCTTTTACCACTTTTCTTCCAATTTTTATATATCTCTTTATTGCTTACCATATGTGCTAGTACATGACTAATAGCATGAGCTATTTGTGAAATAATTTTACCTTTTGACATATTTAGAGTTTTATTGATAATAAGATTAATTATAATATCGGAGTCAAGCTTTTTTAATCTATTACGTTTTACTAGTAAATTTAATAGTAAAAGTGAAGCAAAAGAAATTCCTAATAAAAATATTATATTTGTTTCGTAGTTCATGGGTAAAAAAAATAATTCTTTTTAACTTGAAATAAAATAAAAAAAGTAAGTATAAAAAATAAAGACGAGAATAATAGAGGCTTGTTTAAAGACTTAAAAAATTTTATTTTTCATATTTTTAAGGCAATTAATATGACTGGCATAAAAGCCAATACTTAAATACAAATTTATTTAGATAATAAGATATCATTTTCCCAATCTTTCAAACAAGATTGCGGCATCCAGTCTACAGATCTTTTAGGATCACAGTTACAGTCCTTTTGTCTGGAAGGTGACGAAGGGCAATGACTAAATGGTGGATGTTCATATCCTATATCTTCAAAAAAATGTATTTTACTTTTATCTAAAAATAAAGAGAGTGCCAAACTATGTACAGGAGCATCACCCCATCTTTCATAAAAAAATCCTCCCGACTTATCTAACCAATTGAAATAGCTTCTGTAAATTGGAGATCTCCAAAAATCAAAGCTAGCAATTTCAAAGTTGGACCAAAAATGACATCCATTATACCCCATAGATTCATTTAATAAAAATTTACTAATAACCGGGTTTCCTATCAAAGCTTTAGACTGTTTTGCAAAATTTATTGTCTCTTTATACAAACTTGGTATCGTCTCCATAAATTCTTTTATAGTTATCACAAACGAATACTCTTTATTATTATTCCTTAAGTATTCAAATGGATCAAAATTAATTTTACACAAAAACTTAACATCTGGTTCAATTCTCCAGTAATATCTGTATTTTTTAACCAATGGGATATCAAAAAATTTTCCGGAAAAAAATCGACACATTTTTCTATAAGACAGTGAATCGCCGTAAATAATATTAGCAGCTTTTAAAATATCCATGTAAGCCTTTACCTTATTCATATCGATAAATTTAGGGATACCAAATTCATCCTCAGTCAATTTACCAAATTGTACATCAGATGATACAATACTTTTAATTCTGGTTTTAAATTCTTCTGTAAAGTCTTCATCATTCACCATCACATAAGGGTATCCAAACTTTTTGTTAAACATTTCTTCAAAATTTTTCAGCGTATTGCTTATTCCTTTTAAATCAGAATTTCTACATAAAATAAATATAACAGCGTTTTCTTTGGTGTTGAAATGATGAAAATATAATATTAATTGTGTGAAGTAAAACATGTTGGTGATAAATAATAATATTTGTATTTAAGTTTTAAAAAAAATCAAAAAAAAATGATATATTTACAATATATAAATCATATTTAAATAAGCATAAAAACAAATATACTACATGTTAAATATACAAGTATGTTTTTTAATATACAAATTATGTCTAAAAATATAATTGTTGGTATTATTGCTGTCAAATTATTATTTTTGTAAACAAATATTAATTTTTGTAACTGTTAGACATATTGAAATTTAAAAATATTAATTATTACATAAAACATTGACATGTAAAAACAATGACATTTAATCAAAATGTTGTATTTGTGTATAGAGTTTATACAAAAATTAATATTTAATTAAATAATATCATTATGCATTGACTTTTAAGACAAACAAGAACAAAATATTAATATTTAAACATTGTTAAAATCTTTTTGTTTTTTAGAAAATAAAAATTTATGCTTAAAACCTTTAAAAATGAATTTTTATGTTTTTATAGAACTTGATCAATTTATGAATTATGAAGAAATAATTTTAATTTTAAAAATAAATATATGCATTAATTTGGGTTAATTAAAATAAAATTTTGATATAAAAACAATATCAACTTTTGTTTATTTTTACATTTACATTATATATTTTTTATATAAATTATATTATTTTTGTGTAGAAATAGTTATTTATGTCAAATCCTTTTGCACTAAATAATCCTTCAATCTCTATTTTTATGTTATTTTTTAACATATAAAATAACTCTATCTCATAAACTTTTTGCTTTAAAAGTGTATTAATTTTTCTAATATCATATTTATTAAGAATCATAAAATGTTGCTTATCAATAAGATTTATGTCTTTAATATCTATTCCTATTTTTTTTATAGAAGGATATTTAGTGCATATTTCTAATCCATATGGATCAAAGTCGAAAATACCATATTTTCTAATGTTAAGCTTATTGACTAACAATAATGTATTTCTACAGGGATAACCTTTCCCACATATAAATAAAATATCATTAGAAATATATTCTCTAACTGTTTTACTAAAAATAGTATCTTTTTCGATTATAAGACATTTTTTTTGTGTGTATTCAATCCTATCTATTTGATTCATATCAGGTATTAAAGATGTGCCTTTGAGATTTACATGTACAAGCTTATTATTTTTATAAAATGTTATGTTTCCATAGAATACACCTTTTAAAGTAGTAGATATCAATAAATCTGATTGTGTACATTTTAATTTATTACATGTATCTTTAATTAGCATGTCTACAATAGACTGTTTTTTAAATATTGACACTGAATTATAATAAATCTCTCTTTTATTTTTAATCTTATTTAGTGTTAATCCTAAGTGTATTTGTTCATAGAATTTTAGTCTTTGTATAATATTTGGATATCTCTTTATATTTTTTAAAATGTAAATTACAAGTTCTTCAAGTTTTACTTTAAGATTATTTTTCATTTATGCAGATAAAATTTTACAATAAATTTATACTTTAAAATTTATACGAATTTTTTAAAAATTTACAAGAAATTATTTATTGTAGGATGACATTTTATGGTAAATTTTAGACAAATTAGAGCTATTTATAAGACAAAGCTATAAATGGCTTCAAAAAAAATATAAAATAACAAAATATGTTAGAATATTTATACTCAACAATTTCTGTGGATGATAAAAAATTACTATTAAATATCAAATTTACATTAACAATATATATATCTGAAATTTTTCTGTCTACGAATACCAAAGATCAAGATTAAAAATAACATTTTTAATTAAAGTTATCATTCGATATTTGTTATTAATTAAAAAATTATTTTAATTTTTGATGCTTTAATTTTTTTAAAAATTATAATTAATGAAAAATATGCATAGGCGAAATAATTTAATTAAACAATATTAGAACTGCTAAATACTATTTATTTTAAAAAATTTCTTAGCTTTTATGATCCGAATTTCTTGGTTTTACTATAAACAATATTAAACTAAAATGTGACTTTATAAAAAACATAATTTTTAGTAAAATTTTATATAAAAGTTTTAATTTTTATTTATAAAAAATTATTGATGTATAACTTCAAGTATTAACATATTTAATACCATTTAGTAATGTAATATAAATCTAGAATTTATTTAATGTTATTTTTCAAAATAAATAGACTGTGCAACAAAGTAAAGTTTAGCAAATAATATACTTAAAATTTAAGAGCTTTTTTAAAAAAGTTTCTCTATTTTATATAAAAAGATTTATAACATTTTTTAATGCATAATGAAGAAAATTTACAAAAAATTTTTGAAGTTATAAAAAAATATCTTTGAAAAAGAATTTGCAATAAGTGTAAAAAAGAAATTAAATTTCGGTATGTAAACAAAATAAGGTTCGCTACAAAGGTTAAAAATGGGGTACTAAAAGTGGTTTATTAATACTGCTTTTGAAGAATGAAAGATAATTATTTTTTTATCTTAAAATTTTTTAATTTATGTTTGAAAAGGCTAAATTCATTACATATTTCTAAAATTTAGGTGTAAGACCTTCTCTGATAACAAAATATTTTAAAAAATTACAAAAGAAAAGCTTTATTTTAATACTTACAGAAAAAGATAATTATTAAGTTACCAGACATATTTTGGAACTTGATGAAAGTAAATATAACAGGGGACATGTATTCGATGGTGTTTGGGTTCTTGAAATGGTTAAAAGAACTAGTAATTATAAAAATTTTTCCCCGTTCCTAATAGGTCATACTATTACTGCATAAATTAATTTTATTTTTAAATAAAGAATCTATAATCAATTTAGATTGTTGAAATGAACATAGTAAAGCTAAAACCCATATAAAAAGCACAAGACAATAAATCACAGTCTTTTCTTTAGGGATCCAACAACGTCTGTACATACCAATACCATAAAAATGAATTGGGCAGCAATTAAACAGCAAACATTACCTAGATGTAGAACTAAAACCATGATATTGCTATATTTATTACGATTTATGTTGCATAAAAGCCATAGAAAGTGTTATTTTAAATTTTAATTAATTTGTTATTTTGATTTTTCTATTGAATCTTAAAATTTGGGGTTAAAAAATTTTATTAATCTATTTATATTAATAGAGGATCTTAACTTAAAATTAGCCAAAATTTATAAACACTTGTAGATATTTAAACAAAGTATACACTATCAAGTAATAGTACACATTTTAAGTGATAAAGTATGAAAAATTTATAGTAAATTAGTCTTTTCTAAACGTGTTAAATTATAATATATAAATATTAAATTATTAAAGATTTAAAATAGAATTGACTTTATTAGAGTTATTTTACATTTAAGATGTAGAATAAATATTTCTTCCCTCCTTTTACCAATTATTAAAGATACTCCTTATAATGCTATTTTACAATTAATAAATAATTAATGAAATTTGTAGAAGTTTATTGGTATTTTCTAGTTTACATCATATTTAAATATATTATTTATTTATTATAAGTTTATATAAATAGTGATTAATAAGTTATCTTTTATTAAGATTTTAATACATAAAGTAATTACTTATTACTTTTTGATTATTAAATTATTTGTACTAATAGCGTAAATATACAATAAAAATAAATATGAAATTTTTAAAATAGTAACACTTTACATTATTAATTTTCTATTAAATCATAATTAATATTTTTATTTTGTAAAATTCCATAAATGTAAAACATTTTAATATTTAAATAAAAATTTTAATTAGTGGAAAAATAAATCTTGTAAAATGCTACTATTTGGATTTAGTCATTCATAAATTGTAATAATTTTGTAAAAAGAAGAAAATTTTTTCTTTTTTTTATTGTCATAATCAATTCTAAAAATTATTTGCACTGGACTGTTATATACTAAAAAAAGTAAAAGAGTTTTTTTTGTTTTTATTAATTTAAACCCATAACCCTTTATGTCAAATTATAATATTAAAAAAAATGATAAGAATGAAATTATGAAGAAATGCATAAAAGATGTACAAAAAAATAAGAAAAATTTTTCTCACACTGAGAAGATGGATTTCTCGGCTGACAAAAAGTTTAGTTTTGAAAGACTTTCTAAAGAAGAAGAGAAGGCTATAAATAATTTAGTTGCAATGTCAAGACTTTCTAGTGGGTTTAAAAGATCAAATATACCATCTGTAGAATTTATTCGGAATACTCTAAAGTGTAAAAGTTGTATGAGCTCATATAGTCCTACTACCATTCAAATGTTAATTTATTGCGGATACTATGGAGATTTTAGAATGATGTTTGATCAGCAATTTGTTAATAATTTAAATTGCATTAATTATAAAAATAATAGTGTTATAAAAAGTGTAGATGAAACTAAAAAGGATTCTTTGTCTTCTGAAAATAAGTTAAAGAATAATTATGTTGATAATAGTAATAATCAGAAAATAATATCTAAAACATCAAACAAACATTTAAATTCTTCGCAATCAATTTCGTCTAGTGACAGATATCAATTAAGCACACAACAACAGCTTTTTGAGTTGCGGAAAAATTCGCTTAAAAATAAAAATTTAGTTGATTTTGAAAAAAATAAGGAAGAATGTAAGGATAATTTATCAGTAAAAAATTTTGAAAATAAAGAAAATGGGACTGGAGATTTTACAAATTCAACACTAAGTGATTTTATTACTCTAAAAGATATTTCTAATCCTGAAGACACACCTTCTATCAAATCAGAAGGAATTAGTCTTCTTGAGAATAACATTAAAATTGTACATGATAAAGAAAAAGGAGTATCTCAGTTTTATTGCAAATTTTGTGACAGTAATTTTACTAGTAAAAATGGATTAAATTATCACATAAAATATGTGCACACTGTAGAAAAATCAAAAGTTATAAAACCCTTTACTTGTCCTTTTAAAAAGTGTAATAAAAAATACAAAAATAAAAATGGATTGTATTATCATTTAACACATCGACACCACGATGAAGTTGATGATGTAGATGCTTTATTTGCAATGTGTATGGTAAATAAAAAAAAATAAATTTTATATTTATTTGTAAAATATTTTTTTTAATTAAATTTAGAATTCTATGCTACAAAAATTTAATATGTTATTTGAGAGGCTTACAAGGGCCACAGTATTTTTTTAATTAAAATTTTAAGAACTTTTTGTTTAGTGTACATTGAACACAAGGGTATTTAAAAAATTAAAAAAAGCATAAGATTTATTTGTAAAAATCATAAAATTTTTATTTTTTATTTTTTATTTTTTTTGTTTGCATATTTGAAAGTATAGTGCTATTGTGCAATGTTTTAAAATCTTCACTATCTTTCTTGTGATAATGTTCAAGATGGTAAAAAAGTCCATTTTTGTTTTTGTATTTTCTTTTACATACTTTTTTAAAAGGGCATAAATATGGTTTTACAATATTTTCTTTATGTTTTGAGTGTACATTTTTTAAGTGATATTTTAACCCATTTTTTGTTGTAAATTCGTTCGAACAAGTTTTACAAATAAATCGATGCTCTGTATTTTTTCGCATATCTATTTTATATAATTTTTCTACATCTTCAATAGTTGGTAAGTCTCCTTTATTTAAATCTAAAATTTTATCGTTGAAAATGGAACAATTGTGTATCCCACAGTTAACAAATGCAGATAGATCTCCTGATACACAACTATATATTAAATTTTGTATTCTTGCGTATATGTTTGTTTCGTCACATAAATCACAAATAATAATATTTTCTATAAAGTTTAGGGATGGAACTAGCGGTGAATTTGTCTTTTTATTTTTTTGTGGTAACATAAGTGAGAGTAAGTTCAATGTTGCATCTTCTTCTTGATTAGATAATTCTTTAAAAGGTTTATCAGACATTTTACTATATTCTTGGGTTGTATAAGAAATATTTTGATCTTTTAAATCATTTTTTAAAAAGTTTATTTTATCAGTTACACCTTTATTATCTTCAATCATATACAAAGAAAGATGTATTTTTTTATAAATGATATCAACAAATCAAAGATATAATAGAAAATAAGGAGAATGTCTTATTTAATAACATTTTGATACATTTAATATAATATTTTACTCTATAAAATAAATTAAAAGAACTACAAAAGGAATAACTATCTTGTTATTTGATGTTTCCATTATTTAAATTAATTAGTTTCAATAAAAAAAATATACTTGTTAAAATTTTTTTCTATTTTTCAATTACGCATTATTGTTTACATTTATAATAAGAAATGTATTGTTAAACTTTTTTTCGCCTTTTTATTACGCTTTATTATGTACATTTATAGTAAGAAAAATTTACTTAAATTTTTTTATGCGTTTTAAACGTTGCATCTTTGTTTTTTAAATATCTATGAATAGTAATTTAGTAAAAATGTTAAACGATTAAATTTTTTTAAACAAATAAAACTTTGACAACGATCTAAAAGTTTAGCTTTAAAAATAAGTTTACATTTTATTGAAATCCAAATAAAAATAGATAAATTATAAAACGGTTTTTATTTAACTTTTTTAAAAAAAATCTGCTCTAATTTGTATTTTAACATTATAAGGTACAAGTGAACTAAAGTAATTTCTGGCCACAAAAAATCACAAAAAAAGATGTTCGTACCACGGCAACATTGTAGTATTAAAAAATCAGATAGTCTTTTTTCTCCACTAGTTCTAACTATTAAATCAACTTCACCTGTAAACTTTATTCCATTCTCCACTTCATCCTGTGTACTATATGCAATAAAAAGATTAACAATAATTCCAGTATTGTTTTTTGTACTAATTTCCAATTTTCTCATATTTTCACCAATTGCTGGAGGTAATAAATCCAAATTACCAATAACTCTAACTTTGTAATTTGTAATATAAGGGTTATAAGTTAAGAGTTGTAGAACATTTTGTACTTCTTTATCACTTCTTTTAAAGTTTTTAATACTAAAACAATAAAATCCAACTTCCGGTATATTAAATTGATTGCAAAATTCAATTATTTCTTTAATTCTTTTAAGCCCATCTTCTTTTACTTGTTCTATATCTTTATTCATTTTTTTTAGATAGCGCCTATTTCCATCTGCTATAAATGCTATTTTTAAATCTTTAACGATGTAAAATTGTAATCTGTAATTAATAAATAAAAATAAAGAAAGCAATGGAAAGATCTGTACTATTGTAAAATAAAATGGATGTAATTTTGAGTGCCAGGTTATTAATCTATAAACAGGTAAAAGATTATTATTATTTATTAGCCATTCTAAAAATGTTATAATTTTTACACATGTGTTAATATAAAGTGTATGAATATCAAAAAAATATAAAAATTTTCTGATTGTTTTATTTTGTGCATATTTCATGGGGTACAAATTACAACTGAACAAAAAGTATAGAATATTATTAAAACTTTACGAATACAATATTGTAATATAATATTTACTATATGTTGCAGGTTGATGATTACATCCTTGAAATCATCTTATAAAATATTTTATTTTATAAATAAATTTTACCATTCAAAAAAAATATGAAAGACTTGAAAAAGACAAGTTTATACTATAGATTAGATTTTTAAATGTTTAATGTTACTATAAACAATAATTAAAATGATATATATTATTTCTTGACATAAGATAATGAATATAAATAAAACATGGATTTATTTAATAATTCTTATTTATATTACAGACATGTCAAAGCCATCAACTTAATACTGCTGATTGACATGTTTACATCTTTACTGTCCTACAATAATATTAACAATAGAATATGTTTATAAATTTAAAATATAATTTAACGTATAGCAACTTACAATAACTTAACATATTTATTATGCGTAAAATAACTACAAATAAAATTAGACAAATAATCCACTAAGCTGATTTCTCATTACCTTTTTTTCTTCTGTATCCAAACACATGGCAATTTTTTCATATCTTCGCAATTCTTCCTCAATTTGCTGATTTTTTTGATTATATTCTTTGTACAGTTCTTCAAGATTTTCTAGATCAATACCATTTTTATTTAATTCGGCCGACGACCTGTTAAGCTTATGTGCTTCTGTGTCAATATCATCGCTATATTTCTTTAATGTATCTTCATAAACTTCATATTGTTTTTCAAGCATTTCAAGTTTGTTTGTTTCATTCTCCAATAAATTTCTATATCTTTGTACTTCATTTTTTGTAATTCTTATTAAGGAAATAACATGCTCTTTCTTGTCAATAATTTGCATACTGTTTTTATTTAAATTTTTTATATGATTTTTATTTGTATTTATCTGATTAATTAATGCATCTTTACCTTTTTTTATATTTTTAATTTGATTTAAGATATTTTTTACTTTTGTTTTGTAAGATTTCATTTCAAGAGACAGCTTGTCTTTATTGGCTTTTATTTCCTGTAATTTCATTTTAATGTATTCTTTTCTGTTATCTATGGCTTTTATTAAATTATTTTGTTCTTTAAGTTTTGCATATGCTAGTCTATTTTCCATCTGTTGTTCTACCGGAGAAGTATTATTACTAGAAGGCATATCATAAGAAGAAGATCTTGATTGCGCATTGTTATATGGTGTACTTCCAGGATCACTAAAATTTTGTAAAAAATTTGGTAATGATAAATTACTAGAATTATTATTAAAAGTATTTTTAAAGTTGTATGGCATTGGTGGGTAAGTATCTGATAAATTATCAAAAGGCTTGCTTGTGTCATTGAAATTTTTACTAATATTTTCAGGATTATTGTTGCTAATAAGATTAAGATTATTTGGATCTTCATTGCTTAATGGGAACAAATTTTGTAGTTGATTAGGATTTGATGAAAATATACTACTGAAATCAGCAGGAAAATTTTTACTATTGGGATTTTGCTGATTATTAAAAAATGTCGGCCTTGTGCTATTTAAATCTTGCGGTGTACTTAATATGGGATCGTGTATTGTGTTAGAAGGAACATTTAATAATGGATTCGTTTCTTGTAACGATTTAAATGCTAAATTACTATTCGGAATATTTGAAAGTTCCTTTTTAAATGAATTTATAATATCATTCATATTATTTAAAGGGTTATTCTTAGGTGATGGAAATATATCTGGTTTAAAACTTTCTAATGCATCATAAGGTGAACTTTTCTTCACCTTTTGTCGTGTTGAATCTGCAGGGATGTTATTTATTGTGTTAAAAAAATTATTTTTTTTCGGATATAAATTTTTTAGATAATTATTGTTAAATAAATCACTTTCTTGTTTTTGTTCATCATTTTGATTATTAAATGATCGACTGTTTTCTGGACTATAATCTGATTCTGTATTTTTCTGTTTATTATTTTTGGCTTTGTTAACAATATCTTTTAATTCATTAACACTTTTTTCATATCGCTCTATTTCCTTTGATAATTGTGCATGCTCAATTGCAGGAAAATCAATCTCAACTTTATCTTCATTACAATTCATTTTGTCCTGACAATCTTTTTCTAAGTCTTTACTTGACATTTTTGGATTTTTATTCTGATCAAGTAGAACTACTTCTTCGTTAGTTGAAGCTACATTCTTTTTAATGCTTTTTATTAAATTACGACTTGCTACAGGAGAAATACTTTTTGATATATTAAGGTCATCAATAACCAAAACTTTTGCATAAAAACTCAGAATAAAGAAAATTACCATTTGTATTTTGTTTACTTTTGAAAAATATTATTTTTTTGTTTCAAGTTTAAGAATTAAATATCATAAAAATATGATAAATCCATATTACCAATTTATTAGCATAAAATTATGCAAATTTTGTTAAATTAAACCAAAATTTATGCCCTTAAATGAGAGAAGAAGATTTAAAAAAAATCTACAAAGCTTACAAAAATTGTTCATTAGAAATTCCTTATAGTAAAATTAATGATTTAATTTCTAAGTCTTATACAATTGCAGACACTATTCCGGTAGAACTGTCAAACTATAAAAAGCTACAATATTTAGAGACAGAAATTAAATACACGCTGAAAAATATTGATAAAAATATATTTAAAGGTAGAAGTTGGGATGAAGAATATAAATTAGGCCTTCAACAAGTATCTGTTATTCATTCTATTATAAAAAAACGTAGTTTTGATATTAAATCTAATTTAAACAAAATAAGCTTTGTGGCAGTCGCACAATACAGGAAATATTTATTACGACAGTATCCGAATAGTAAAATGCGTCGTGTTGCTAAAGAAATTAATTCATACAGCAAAAAGTTTGATAAGGAAAGACGTGATGTATCAAAGAAGGTTGAAAAAGCCGCATTAGAAAAAAGAAAGCAACTTGAAGAAAGTAAAGAAGCAATGAGGCAGAAAAGAAAATTTGAATATTTGCTTACACAAACCGAACTTTTTTCACAGTTTATGTTAGGCAAGTCAAAATTAGAAAATTTTGATAAAGAAAAAGTAGTTGATGAAGATTTATTAGAAATGAATAAAAAATTTCAGATGGCGGCTGCACAGATTAAACATAAAGAGCATCAAAATGATATTAAAAATATTGAAGATGAAGAAAACAGAAAATTGAAGCAGCCAAAGATGTTAAATTGTGAACTTAAAGGTTATCAAATAACAGGATTTAATTGGCTTGCTAAATTATACAATCAAGGAATTAATGGTATTTTGGCTGATGATATGGGACTTGGTAAAACTGTTCAATCAATTTCTCTACTAGCTTATTTAGCAGAAACAGAAGACATTTGGGGTCCCTTTTTAGTAGTCACTCCTGTTTCAACATTACACAACTGGGAACAAGAACTAAACAAATTTGTTCCTAATTTTAAAATTTTAAGTTATTGGGGTACATCGACATACAGATCTCAAGCCAGGAATAAAATAAAAAAAGCCAATGTTGTACTTACGAGTTATCAAATAGCAGTGGCCGATTTTAAAGTTTTAAAAAAAGTAACATGGAAGTATATGATTTTAGATGAAGCCCAGGCTATTAAAAGTGCAGCATCTAAAAGGTGGACAACTCTTTTAGCATTTAAAACAAAGAGTAGATTGTTGTTAACAGGTACACCTGTTCAAAATACAATGAGTGAGTTATGGGCTTTACTTCATTTTATTATGCCTACGCTGTTTGATTCTTTGTCAGAATTTACAGAGTGGTTTTCTAAGGGAATTGAGGAATCAGCTGAAAAAAAGAAGGCTGTTGATGAAATGCAGCTGCAAAAACTTCATGCAATTTTAAAACCATTTATGCTACGAAGATTAAAAAGTGATGTTAAAACAGAATTAGGAGAAAAGCGTGAACTAGAAGTTTATTGTGATTTAAGCGTGCGTCAAAAGATATATTATCAAAGTATAATTGATGCTTGTCAATCTTATGAAATGGAAAATATTGTTATGCAACTAAGAAAGGTTTGTAATCATCCTGATATTTTTGAAAAACTCGAAACAAGTACTAAATTGAGCATCTTGCGGCACGATGAAGAAAGTAGAACTATTGAAATGGGTAGATCAAAACTAAACATGAAAGTTCCTACTTTTGTAGCTGATGATATTGCAGAATATAATAATACAAAATATTTCTTTGTAAAAAATATGATTAGAAATATTAGACAAGAACCTTATGGCTCTAATATAATATTAAGTCCTAAAAGCAAATTATTAGTATCAGGTAAAGAATGTTTTATTAATAATTTTTATCAAAGTAACACAGACCAATTTATCGACAAAAATAGTACTAGTTTGTTTTACAATGATTTGTGTAAACAACTTTGTAGAAACAATGATCAATTTCAAAGAATTCCTGTTTTTACTAAAAAGATACTTTCAATGTTTCCTTATATTTACACCAACAATGGCGATTATGTTAAAATTGAGCAAATTTCTCTTAATTATACTATCAATGAAATAGTTGATGTCCCACCACTTAATACATTTATTATTGATAGTGGAAAATTGGCTTGTCTTGATAAACTACTTACAAAGTTAAAACAAGAAAACCACAGAGTATTAATTTATTTTCAAATGACTAAGATGATGGATCTTGTTGAAGACTATTGTGTAAAGAAAGAATTTACTTATTGTAGATTGGATGGTTCATCTAAAGTATCATATCGAAGAGATACTGTTAATGATTGGCAAACAGGAGATAAATTTATTTTCTTATTAAGTACTAGAGCAGGAGGTCTAGGAATAAATTTAACTGCAGCAGATACTGTTATTTTTTATGACAGTGATTGGAATCCGACTGTTGATCAACAAGCAATGGATCGTGCTTATAGAATTGGACAAACTAAAGATGTTACTGTTTACAGATTAATTACAAAAAATACAATTGAAGAACGAGTTATTGAAAAAGCTACACATAAAGGTAATTTACAAAAAATGGTTATAAAAGGTAAAGTTTTTGAAGGGCTTGATTTTTAGGTCTTAAAAAATTCCCCTTGTATGATTTTTTTAAAAAGCAACAAAGAAAAGAATTTTTTACCTTCTTTTTTTGTCAAAACTCAGAATAAATTTTGTTTAGTACTTAACGAATATTTAAATTCTATTTTTTCTATTGTTGTTGATGATGTTTCTCTGTATGTTCACGAGGAAAGAACTGTCGAACTACCCATAGAACTTGGAACACCAATAAAAACATATAAAATATCTTTTGAGGAAATTGTATTAGAAAACTATAGCTTTTTTATGGCATCTTCTGTTCATTTGAAAAATAATGACTTTACTTTTTTAATCTTTAATGAAACAGATGCATTTCCCTTTGTTTTTGATTATATAAAAAATAATTTTGAAATAATATATTTAGAATATGCTAAATTTGACAAAAAAAAATTTTTAGATCAGCTTATTGTTAATAAACTTATTTAATAAAAACATAAATCTATTTATTAATTAAGACATGTAAAATTTTTTAATGGTGTTAATGCTTGTTATGTACTATTTATATAATTAAATACAGTTTGTTTGTTTCTATTTTATGCAAAAAAATATAAATAATTTTTATTTTTCTATATTGCATGAATAATAATTTTTTAGCAACCATGGAATACAAAGATTTTAGGTTAGAATATTGCATATTTGACCATAATGCTTTTTATCTTGGAAGATATATCTCGGACAGTAGACAATATGATACAGGAGTTGCTATTCTAGGAAGACATAATATAAGTAAATTGATACTATCAAGTAATTGCAATCATAAAATTTATACAACCTTTAAAATTACGAACATTGAAATAGAGCTTCTAAATAAAAAACATTTTATTGTCAGAAAACGTCTTGATGACGAACTTTCTTTTGGTTGTCTAAATGCAATGATATATTATTTAGAAACCAATGTTATGGGTCACCATGTTGGATATTTAAATGTACTCAATTTAAAATCAATAGAAATCGGTACTATTGGGAAGTATAAAGTTTTCAAACACAATTTAAATGATTTTTTATACATAGATTATAATACTATTCAAGATTTACGCCTTAAGGAAGATTTGTTTTTAAAAATTAATTTTACTAAAACAATACATGGCAAAAAACAGCTGTTAAGGCATATGCTCTTTCCATTTAAAAAAAAGATTGAAATTCTTCAAAGACAGAAACAATTAAATGAGATTATGAACATATCGTTGACTGCTTTTTTAAAAAAAATTAAAGGAATTGAACCTGACGGCGTTCTCAATATCTACAAACTTCCATTGTTACTAAACTCGGTCATAGATATACACGAGATGCTTAAAAATACATCAATTGGTTTTAAAAGCATCAAACACGTAAAACAACTTTCGACACTTGTTGATATTTTTGATGAAAAAGAACTAAAACCAGGTCTCTTTCCAGAATATGATCAGCTACAGACATTTTATTTAAATTTACCGCAATACTTGAGCAAAATTGCAAAAAATATTACTAAAGATATATCAATCGATTTAAACATTATCTATATGCCACAAATTGGTTACTTGATTGAATTGAACCGCAATATTGATATAGAAAAACTTGTGTGTGATATACCTGATGAATTTTTAAATGAAAAGAAGTGTACTGCTGCTAATGCTATGGAAAACTCATTATTCACTGAATCAGAAACATATTTTAAAAGCTCTACATACAATGAAATATTTATACAAAAAGTAAATAATATTAGCCAACTTGCTGAAGATATAACAAATAAAGACATATACAAATTTAGTACTTCTCTTGGAGCATTGACTAAAAAAAATATTTTTAAAAGATCAAAAAAGCACAGTTCTATTGATACTTTGTCAAAAGAATTTGGAGAAAGTAAAAACCAAGAAGCTGCACAAAAAAAGCTATTTAAGATTCATGAAAAGTTTTATGTAAAAAACAAAGTAATGAAATTATTAGATAAAGAATTCGGAGACCTTTCAAATTTGATTGAGGAATTTAAATGTTTTAAAATAAAAGAATTAAGAGAGATCATAGCAAGATTTCCTTTAGATGAAATTTTTGAGTACATTGGCACTATTGATGCTTTAAATTCACTTAAACTATTCTCGTTGACATATAAATGTTGTATGCCAAAAATTAGTAAAGAGAAGAAAGTTAAGATAAAAAACATTTGGAATTACAATGCGGATATTGAAATTACAAAAAATATAATTTATTTTGGATCTGACAATTTTTTAAAGTTAATAGGAGAAATGATAATTTTATTCCAAATGGGCTCAAACATTCCCGCTTTAGATGGCGAATTTTATATATTTGATCAGTTATATACATCAATTCAAATTAATGAATCAATTATTGATAATACCAGCTATTTTCTTGCATCTTTAAAAAATATTTCAAGAATTTTAAACCAAGCAAATTCAGATTCAGTATGCTTAATAAAAAACTTTGGAGATGGAACAAATATAAATATTGGAATACAACTTTTTTATGAAATTCATAAAAAAATTCAAGATTTTTTTGTAATATCATTATGTAATTTTAAAGAAATTTTTAATCATTATGAAGGCGAGGAAATAGATAAAGCAAGTACATTAATTGAAAGTACAAACCACATTATCCCAGACGTACCAAATGAAAGCACTTTTGAGCTAAAAAAGAATTCTTTAATACTAAGTCAAATGTCGTCAATTTATTATCAATCAAAATCAATAGAAACCTGTAAGAATTGCCTTTGTACGTCATATGATTTTAAATCGATTGACATAAATTTGTGTAATATTTTGATTACCACATACAATGGGGATAGGTATTCTAGCTATTCTTTCTTAGACAACTTTGTGACTTCTAAAAAATTTAAAGATTTATATTATGAAAGTCTAGAATTGATAAAAAATGACTTACATAATAATGATCAATATAATATGTATCAATGGGCAATAAAAACCGTAAACGATTTTATAAAAAAACATAGAAAAATTTTTAATAAGAAATAAGCAAATTTTTTCAAATATCTCGATCGTTTCTGCTTTTATTTTTCACAGTATTTATTATCAAATCATAATTCATGTGCTTTTTAAAGTAATCTAATTCAGCTGATGATGAATGTTCTGAATAAGGAACATGTATAATTTCTACTCCTTTTTTAGTCTTTCGTCCGTCTGATTTACACCAATCAAATGACACTGTTTTATCATGCCAACCAGTGCCACAAAAAACTGTAACTCTATCTGCTTTAACATTATCCAAAATTTTGTGCAATCTTTTCTTCTCAATGTGCTGTGTGCTTATTACTAATAACTGATTTTCTTTAGTTTCGGTTGTCAAACGTGACCATGGCAGATTACCACAATAAGTATTTGAATTGTTGTTTTTAGTTTGTGCCTCTTTTTTTATATCACCCAAATTTGTTTTATCATTTAGTACGTTTTTTGATTTACAAAATTTTAAAATAGATCCAGGATTTATTTTTTTCTTTTTTCTCTCAACAGACAATTTCTTTTCAACTTTTGGTATAATTGTTCGTTTTATTTGTGTGATATTTGTAGATTTTTCTTTAAGATTTTTTATTTTTTCTCTATAATTATTTACAATATTCCTTACTTCTGTATTTAAAAGATCTATCGCATATTGATCATAACATTTATATACCTTAAACTTATCAGGTTCTATTTTAATGCTCATATCAAAAAACTCAGCTGCGCATAAAAAAATTTTTTCTTTACCTATCATGTATGTGCAAAAAAGGTATTTATAATTTATAGGAACCAAACAATTTTTATTTTTATTATTTCTCATAATGTCTAAAACTCTATGTATTACATCTTCTTGTGACGGAAACGGTTTTTTTCCTTCAAAAGTATTATCAAGAAATATTGTTGTAAATTTGTACTTCATTAATTGTAAAGTAAAATCATATGTACAGCGAAAATCCCCTGTATGTAACACAAATGCGCCATTGACATAAAATATAAAACAAACCGCACCTGGACAATGATGTGCATCTATTAAAGATACAATGTTACCATCTTCGAGACAGTAATTTTTATTATTTTCAAGAGGCATGGTTTTACATTTATATTTTAATTCAATTAAATTTGCAGTAGTAATTGAACAATATATTGGATAAGAAAAAGATTTTTTTAATCCATAATAATGATCAGAGTGGAAATGTGACAAAAAATAGTGAGAAGCATTTTTTATATCAATATAAAAACAATCTACTACATAATTAGTAAAAGAAATTCTTTTATAACTTGGTATTTGAAATATGTCCATGGGGTTGTAATTTTTTAGTGTAATAAAATTTTTACACCACTCGTTAGTCATGCATGACATCTACGTACCATAGTTTATGCTCAGAAAATGATTGAATATAAATGTCAACCCCTTTACAATTGAGAATATTGAAATAAGAGATTTTTTTATTTGTTATACACAATGTACTTACAGAGTAAATAAGAAAATCTCTTGGACTTTTTATAATATCTAGTAATGTGTTTAATAACTCTAATGAACTACAACATATCACTGAATTATGATGTTGTATTTTTTTAAAGGTACAAATAATCAAAATGTTTGGATGTGATTTTAAAATAATATCAATCTCACCGCATTGAAAAATTTTCCCTATCTTTGACCTTTTTGACAAAAGAAACATTTAGGATAAAATTATAAATATTTTTTAAATAATTCATTTAAGGATAAATAAAAGAAAATTAAACCCCATAAATGTCAACATCTTATTGTAGAGATTTTTATGTAAATGAAATAGATAAAATTGATGTATTAATTGAAAAAAAGAAAAAGTCATTGTTACATTTGGAGCAAGAAAGATCAGAATTAAATAAGCAAATAAGGATTTTAAGGGAAGAAATTTCTATAGTGCAAGAACCGAGTAGTAATGTAGGAACTGTATCAGAGAAGATGGGGAATAGACAAGTAATTGTGAAAACAAGCCCCGATGGAAAGTATTTGGTAAAAGTTGAACCACATGTTAATTACGATGAATTAAAACCGGGTGTTCGTGTTGCCCTTAGAAGTGACAGCTATGAGGTGCATAGAATTCTTCCTCTAAAAGTCGATCCTCTTGTATCTTTAATGATGGTAGAGAAAGTCCCAGATTCCACATATGCTATGATTGGTGGATTAGATGAGCAAATAAAAGAAATTCAAGAAGTTATAGAACTTCCTATTAAACATCCTGAACTCTTTGAAAATCTCGGTATTGCCCAACCAAAAGGAGTTCTTCTTTATGGGCCACCCGGTACAGGAAAAACTTTATTAGCCAGGGCTGTAGCTCATCACACAAAATGTAAGTTTATTCGAGTCTCTGGTTCAGAATTAGTACAAAAGTACATTGGAGAAGGATCTAGACTTGTTAGAGAGTTATTTGTGATGGCAAGAGAACATGCTCCTTCAATAATATTTATGGATGAAATTGATTCTATTGGATCTTCTAGAACAGATTCTTCTTCAGGAGGAGACAGTGAAGTACAAAGAACTATGTTAGAACTTTTAAATCAACTTGACGGGTTTGAGTCTCAACAAAATATTAAGGTGATAATGGCCACAAATAGGATTGATATATTAGATTCTGCGTTATTGCGTGCTGGTAGAATTGATAGGAAAATTGAATTTCCACAACCTAAAGAATCTGCTAGATTAGAAATTTTAAAAATACATTCTAAAAAGATGAATCTTACAAAAGGCATTGATTTGGATTCTATTTCTAGAAAGCTTGTAGGTTCTTCTGGTGCAGAAGTTAAGGCTGTCTGTACAGAAGCTGGTATGTTTGCATTGAGGGAGCGAAGAGTTCATGTGACACAAGAAGATTTTGAACTGGCTGTTTCGAAGGTGATGAAAAAGGCTACAGATACTAGTAATGACTTAAGAAAGTTAATGAAATAAATTTTTTTCTGTTATTTTAAGCCCCCACAATGACAAAGTCTTTTTGTAGAAAAGAGCTTATTTCTTTATGCACTAAATATTGTCTACCAGTGAATGTAAAAAGTACATCTATAAAAATTTATAATAAAATATTTGATAAGGTAAAAGTAGATAATTTATTGTATCTTATTCTTATAGTAGCAGCTAAATGTGAAGAAGTGCATACTATAAATATTTCTTCTTCATTAATAAAAAATGAATCTTTAGTCCATGAAGCCCTTAATTTTGAATATGACTTTCCTTCTTCCTACCTCAAAATGTGTTCTCTATTAGTAAAATTACAAATAGAGCATAAAGTAAATTACAATGATAGATATGAAGAAGGATGTAAATTTATGGATTTGTTGTTAATTAATGATGATGGTAAATTAAATGACTTAGAGAAAGCATGTATTGCTTTACAACTTCCTGATTCATTAGCAGAGAAATTTTGTGATCTTAATAAAATAAAAGACTGTAAAAACACCTTTTTTACCTCAAAAAATGTCACATTAAATTCTCTTTAGCTAAGATTTTTAATGTTAAATATTACTTATCAACTTGTTTAAACACCTTTTTTTATATGTTTTTCTAAATAAGGCTTCTTATATTAAGCACTCCAATTATAATTTTTAAACTCCTTTAAACCCCTTTTAATTTTTTAATATTCTTTTTACACTTCATTTCTATGCAATTCCTTGATGATCTTATTCTTGGTCCTAACACCCCAAGGCATAGTGATAATGTACAATTCCCATCTAAAATATACAAAAAAAAACTACAAAAGGTAGCTGTTTCTGATAACTGGTGGGAATTTTGGTCCAAATTTCTTGTTAAAAATAATGTTACAAAATACGAAGTATATAAAAATTTAAAAAATATAAAGCATGATTTACGGATAGCAATATGGGATAAATTAATTAATATTTCTATATTAATAAATAAAATAAATTTAGACATTAATAAAGATTTTATAGATAGAGATAGCATACTTATGAAGTGTGTAATATCAAGATTTAAGAATAGAGATGAAGAAGAAATATTTTATATTTTAAGAGATGTAGTGAATACATTCTCTTCAATTGATAATTATGTGTTATTAACAGATTTTATGTATTTAATTGTTAATCTTCCTAATGCATCTCTTGAGCAAATAGAAAGAATATTAATGGGACTTTTTCTTTATGAGGAATTTAGGAATTTATTTCAGATAAATTTTTGTACGCCAATTTATGCGCATAAAGAGGGAAGCAGTTCTACAGATAGAACTAGTGAATGTAAAAATGATAAAAATTTACCAAATTATATTAAAAAGTTTGAAGATATGATTTACAGAAGTACGAAAGATTTATACTACAGTATAGATTTATTACTAACAACAGATTCAAATTATTATTCTATACTTGATAATAAACATACATCTCCTGATAAAAAAGAAAATATTATTAAAACTACGTGTAGGAAAGTAGAGACATATTTTGATTTTCTTATTGTACAGAATGAAAATATTAAAGCACAAGAAGCTATTAAAAATGATTTACTTAATGTAGTAAAAGAAAATGAGGAACTTAAAAAGAAAATTGACGAACTTAAAAAGAAAACAGAGTAAAAAAAGTATTTCTTTTTATAAAATTATGTGTACAAGAAGTTATAGTAATATTAGAAAAATTTATATTTAAATTTGTAAATTAGAATTTTTAAGTTTTTATAACAACTTGTTGTATTTTCAATAAGAAGTCTTGTTAAATTTTGTATTTCTTGATTATTGACATTTAGTAATTATGTCTTTTTCGTAATATTATAATTAACTTTTGTTTTATGTTGACTAATAATAGTAAAGACTAAATCTACACCTTAGAGATATATAAAATGTTAGTAATCTCTTAGATAATATTTGTATGTAAATAATATATTATTAAGTTTTAAAATATCTTTACCCTCCATGGACCTGTTAAAAAGTCAAATAGATCTAGATTCTTTTCTAGAAAATTTAGATAATAAGTCTACTTATAATGATATATTTATATCTATGTTACACAATCCTACATCTGATTTACTTTCTAAACTCGTTATTAATAATTTCTCTCGAATGATAACTGATTTAAAATATTTGATAAAATTTAAATTTTCTAGACTAAAACCAGTTATACAGAAAAATATTTCTAAAATAGTTATTCTTCTTTTTGGATACACTGTTAATATTGACACATTAATAATTAATCTATTAAGACAAGGTTACACTAATTTTCCTGTAGAACATAAATATTTTAAAGAGTTTAAAAATGCGCTACCGTATATTAAGTTACATAATGGTGATAATTTTGCAACATCTTCTTTATCTACGCTTATTACTTTTGAAATGGAGACAGATATTATTTTTATGTCTACAGTAGAAAATAATATTGAGTTTTATGCACATGTTTTTTTAAAAAAATATCAGCATAAAACTCAGGACATTTTGAGATTTTTAAAATATAAAAAGTTTACAGGTAAAAATATAGAATACATAATAAATTGTATAAAAAAAATATTGGGATATGAAACTCTTGTAGAATTTGTAGATGATAATATAGAAAATATTAATACTACTAAAGAAAAAGAAGTTAAAGATAATAATTTAATAAATTTAGAGAAGAAAAATACACAAGACATTTTAATGTCAATAGCTGATTTATCATTTCCTAAATATTATGCAATAATACAAAATATGAAAATTAATAAGTGTACTTTTATTCATCCAAGTAAGTATAAAGATGTAGTTTTCTCTTCATTTGAATATGATAATTATGTACAAGTATATTTATGGAAGATTCTTATTTACCAGAAAATACTTTTTGATATTGAAATAGAAATTGAAGAAAGTGATCTTAAGACTGAAGAAGCATTAGAAGGATATGACATATATTTAAATATACATTAATATTTATTTACTATAATATTATGAACTTTTTTCTTTATTTTTTCTATTTCTTCTAATTCTATTCTATTTAAATCTTTTTTATTGTTTAATATCATCAAATCACTCAAATATGACTGTAAAACCAGATTATTTTTTATATATAAATTTATTAATTTTGTTAAATTATTATTTAATTTATTTTGTATTTCGTTAGTATTTTTATTTAAATTTTGTTTATAAAATTCTAATTTTTTGTTTGTATTTTTTATCTTTAAAATGACATTTATATTAGTTTTGTAATACAAATAGTTTTTAATATCCGTTAGAAGTATGTTCTGAAGTACTTTAAAATCGAGAGAATACTCTAAATTAAACATTTCTTCTGGTTGTTCAATAAGTGGTAAAATATTTTTTATATTCTTTGTATTTATGCATACAAATATTTTTTCTTCTTTTCGCCGTGTTGCATAAATTAGGTAGAGCATTTTATAGCATTTGGTAAGATCTTGCATAAAAGAATTTGAGAAATAATTAAATGTTTTAAGGAACAAATAAAATTTAATTATATGTAACATAAAAAAATAATGGCAGCCTACAAAAAGTAATTATTTTATAATCAATAACACTTTTACTAACTTTGCTTTCTTCCTGCATCGGGTGAAAAATATTCAAAATTTATACAATAATGTACAACATTATTATATCTCGACATTTATAATTTTAGAATGCGCAAAACAAGAGATTTATGATATCTTGTATATAAAAAATTTTGTCATCCTAAATTAAAAATTCATATTAGAAAATAAGACAAGAAATTTATGATATCTCGTAAAAAGTAAATATTTTAAAAAAATAATGACATTCAAATTTATTCGTTCTTTTTCTCCTGTATTTTTTTTGCTGCTTCTTTTGCCAATGCATCTGCCTGATCAATTGCTGTATTAATACCATTATCATTCAAATACCATTTTTCAGGGACTTTACTAATCAGTGAATCGTAAATTATTTTAGTTCCTTTGAATCTAAAAGGTCCAATGTAAAGAAGAAGGAAAAATTTTAGTGTATAAAACATTGGAATAAATGACACTATAAATCTTGAATATGCATCGAGTGATGTAAGAATTCCAAATACCAGCCAGAATATTAAAAGATGTCTTATTTCTTCTTTGTTAGGATTTACTTGTTTAAGAACAAGAAGTGTCTCTCTCAGTGGAATTATTACTCCTATCACAGATGTAAGAATAGGACCTAAACACGTAGACATAATAATAATTATTACTAGAACTATTGCAGCTAAGAAAGAATATTCTCTAGGGATCTTAAAATCTTTCTCAAGTTTTGTAAAAATAGGAAATCTTGATGATATGTTTTTTATGTGATCCATGTTTATTTTTAAGGGTAAAAAATTTAAGGTATTGTGTTTGTAAGAGAATAATAGATGTGTAATAAAATAAACAAACTATAAATAAAGAAGAAGTTATAAGATATTATTAATAGTAATATTATTAATATTAATATTAATAATTATATTAATATTATTTGTGGTAATACTATATATAATATTAAATAGCATTATTTTTATATGACATAAAATGATTGCAGGCTAACATATAATAATTATGTAAAAATAAAGACAGTGCCTTATAAAAATATATTAAAAATTCCATATAAAAACATAGTTGATAGTGATTTGCAAAAATATAAACAATGTTTTTATCATAAAATTTTGTAAACGCAAAAATACTAACATTTATTTTGTCTTAGTAATAATCTGAAAGATAGAACTCATAATACATATAGATCCTTGAATAATAAGACACTTAAATGTTTTAGTATTCCAAATACCATTTAAGTAATTAATATAAATATCCAAAAATCCATATTTTTTCTTCATAAAATATTCAAAACTAAATAACAGCATAAATGAACCGATAATAGAAAAGAAACTCGCCAAAACAACATTTTTTACACTTTTAACAAGGAAATGTACAGCAAATCCTGCAAATATAAAAAAAACACTCAAGTAAATACTAAAATCTCCCGCATTGATAGAGTCATGTAACCAGAATATTAGATATAAAAACAGTAAATATATCAAAAAATCAAAAACACCCAAAAGTAAATAAGCACCAGCAAAGGAACAAAGGACAAACAGGACTTTATGATTCAAAGCAAATAAAATGTACGAGCGTATTGTACTATTCTGGATATGGGCAAGAATTGCCGTATGGGAAAATGAAATTAAAAGGGCTAGTAAAGCGGAAACTGAAACAAATTTAAATCTAAGACCTCTTGTTAAAATGAATAAAGAAAATACAAGTATAGTCAAAGCAACCAATGTATTCTCTATAATAATATTGTTCATATGATGTATAATACCTTGTATTAATGAAGTTTTACACCAAACAAAACTGATTAAAAAAAGAGATTTCATAAGGGGGTAGTAAATTTAATTTAAATACAAAAAAATAATAAAGCATCAATTTATACTTAAATTTAAGATCATTTTTAAATTTAACATGTTTTAATTAATATTTTAAAATATTCAAAATATGAAATTTGTGAAATTTAATTAAACTTTTATTTTTTAAAATTTTGTTTGTAGAAAATTTGATTTAAAAAATATTTTTTAAAACTTTGTTTGTAGAAAAATTAATTAAAAAAATATTCTTAAACAATATAGTAGTTGGACATTAAGAATGTAAATTTAACGTTTTATAAAATAAAAATACTAGTATAAAAAAGTGTAAATTGAATTTTTTATTAAATAACTATATTTGGTAATCGCATCAAGTCTATGACGCAAGATATCAAAAAACTGATTTTAATTATTGTTGTTGTTAGAACAATAACAAAAAATATTTTATTTGTTTAATAAAAATGTATTAAAAAATTCTAATCTTTTTATAAATTATTGATTGTTTATTTAAAATTTAATAAAACATAAATAGTAAGTTTTAATATTTTTGATGTCTTACATTTTACAAACAATAAATTTATTAATCATTTTGTTATTTCCTCTTTCATTTTAAAAGTAAATGATAATTATTTTAAATAATATTTCTTTTCATGCAGATTGTTTTGACATTATTCACATTAAAAATACAAGTTATTACTAGCAAATTTCTTTTATTTTAAATCTAATGCATATTAAAAATAAAAATATAAAAGTTCTTATTTTTTTTGATTTGTTAAATGAATAGTTAGATATGTTGTATAAAGACATAATATGCGGCATTAAAAATCATAATTGCTGTAAAATTATTTATATTACATAATTTGAAAAATATATAAAATTAAGTCAACCCACCAAAAGAATAATAATCTGCTAAAATTTATAATTTTTTATATTATAGCTCTTTTTATTTAGAACATACATTATTAATTTATTATTTTAATAAATATATTTTGTAAATTATTAGCTATTCTTTAACTTCTTTTCATATTACGTTAGATCTAAAAATGCTTATTTATAAACAATATAAATAAAATACAAAAATTGTGCAGTACAGATATCATTAACTTATATTACTTGTATAATGTTATTTATATTTATTCATTATTAAAATTTATTATATTCTTTTTGTTTTATATTATTTTTACTTTACCCTTCCCTTTTATGCACAATTTTTTTTTAAATCAAGCGTATTTACAAGCAGTTCTAGCTTATGAAAATCATGAAGTCCCTGTTGGTTGTGTAATAGTAAAAAATGGTATAATTATCAGTAAGTCACACAACTTAACTAATAAGCTTCACACTCCCTTAGCCCATGCAGAGTTAAACGCTTTATCTAAAGTTAACAATCTGTATTCTAATCTAATATTTTATATTACATGTGAGCCATGTGTAATGTGTCTAGGAATATTAGAAAGAATTAATTGTACTGTGTATTATGGATGTAAAAATAGTATATTTGGTGGTACTAGTGTTATTAAAAACAATAAAGACTTTTTACATAACTTAAATGATGCAAAATGTTATCAGATACTTCAGAAATTTTATAAAAGAGAGAATTTTAATTTACCCGAGGAAATAAGAAAGAAAAAATATTCTTAAAATATATTAATTTTAATATAATAGTATAAAATAAATGGTAAGTTTAGACAAAATAAAACAATTTATATTTAAAAATGATGATATAATAATAATGAGGATTTTTTACTATTTTTCTAGTAATATAGAATATTTTAAATTGTCTAATAGAACAATTATTGTTAATGAAGTTAAATAAAAAAATAACATTTTATAATTTTAATTTATAAATAGTTATTATATTTAAGATAACACTAGAAATTATTTAAGGTATTTACAATTAAAATTTTTTAATCAAAAGTTTCTACACTTTTTAATGAATTTTTAAGTATAACAATGATGTTTATGTAAATGACACAACGCGGTGTAATATAAAATTTAATTTAATTATTTACATTAAAGTTACAAATCATTTATTTAAATACAAATTCTAAATCAGAACCATCAATATACCTGGGTACAACAAAATTCTCTTCAATTCGATTAACTCTAATTTCTGTTGCTAGTGGTTTACCTGTAATAAAAACATTTTCCTTGACATCTTCGCTTTTAAATCCCATTTTTATCAAAAATGTATTAATTTGTGCTACCGTCAATAAATCAAAATTTTTATAAACACCATCTGTCTTAACATCACCAGAAGCACAAAAATTTACTAACTTAATAACTTCTAATGTATGTTTAAAGTTATCTATTCCCTTAACATAACTAATTTTCCTAAGCCATGTAAATATTTTATTAAGATTGTAATTTATTTGTATACATCTATTAAAATTTAAAAAGTTTTTCTTAATCAATAAATTGTTAAATATTCCCGTATTAATGTTATCTAGTAGAAAATTAAGAATGGAAATCTTGTAATCTTCATCTAAATAGTAAAAATTTAACTGTGAATAAATGTTATCTAACGTTTTTATTAATTTTATTGGACTCACAGGCTTAAATATTTTTTTTATAAAAGAATCACTACATCTGAAATTGGATAATTCTTGATGTTCTGTAATAGAAAAAGGGATGTACTCCCTCAAATTATCAAGATAATATTCTGATAAATATACATGAAGTGTATGTATTAAATCATTTAAATCGTTATTTACTCCAACTAATTTTGAATATTCAATCAGATTACTTAAAAAGAACACAACATGATCAATATTTCTCTCAAAAAACTTTAACCGTAGTGATATTTCTTCTGTAAAAACCGAAACTGCTTCCTTGATATTTTTATTAGATCGCCTGGTTATTAAAAAGGCAGCATGTGCAAACGACAAACACTCAGATCTAGGACATGATTCAGATACTGGAATATTATCAAGGTAGATAAAAAATAGCTTACTAAAAAGACTTGATGCATTTTCTAAAAATCCATAATTTAATTCTGATAGTCTGAGATTTGCTTCCTTCAAGGCTTCACTTACAAACTTATATTTTAAATTTAAATTCTCACAATTAAGGCAAGAACTGGTTGAAGGTACAATATCTAGGTTTGGTCGATCGTATAAAATATCATGTTGTTGATTTTCAATTTTTAAATTATCGTTATTTTCAATCAAAAGTGTTTCTGGAATGTCGTCAGGAAAATGCTTATCAACCACTGTTTCTGATGCCTCTACAGGAACCACTGGTTCTAATACCTCTACAAGTGCTATTGATTCTGGTGCCTCTACAGGAACCACTGGTTCTGGTGCCTCTACAGGTGCTATTGGTTCTGATACCTCTACAGATGCTATTGGTTCTAATGCCTCTACAGGAACCACTGGTTCTGGTGCCTCTACAGGTGCTATTGGTTCTATTACCTCTACAGATGCTATTGGTTCTGGCGCCTCTACAGGAACTATTTGTTCTGATACCTCTACAGATGCTATTGGTTCTGATACATCAACTGGATGAAATTCGCTTGTTATTTTATCTATATCTATTATAACATCATTTACTGATTGTTTATTTATTTCAGAAATTAAAATTTCTTTTTGTTCAGCAGTATCTTTGTTTTCTATATCACATGATTTTATTTCAATCTGTTCTGTTATACTGCTCTTAGAGTCTTCTGTTTTATCCTCACATCTCGTGTCTTCTACATTAAAAATATCAATGGAGTGCTTGTTATTAGAACTAGTAGGAATATGTTCATTTATAGATTCTTTCTCAGGCATGTTTTTGTTTGAATTAATCAAAAATAAACTTTCATCTTCATTTTCATCAAACAAATCGCTAATCATATCTTCTAATGTACTTAATTTTTTTATTTTAGATTGATCATTAAATTTGATTCCATCTTTTTTCGAATTTTCCAAATTTCCATCTATTTCGCACATTTCAATGTTTGGAAATATATTTATATTCGATTTATCTTCAACAAATTCTTTAATTGTTTCAGATTGTTCACAAATCAAATTAGAATAACTTTCTTTTAATTGTTTGTTATTAATATTTTGTTCAATAGCGACTATCTCTTGTTCCACACCAGTGTCAGAATTAGAAAACCATTTATTTATTCCTTCTTTTTTATCTATTAACTTTCTTATAAACCATTCTAAAACCTTATTTTTTCGACTATCTATAAGTCTTTCAACTGATTCAATCCCTATCTTTACATCGGTATTAAAATAAACTTTAGTTTTTCCTTCTATAACTTTTTTATATTTAAGATATTTTTTATACCATTCAACTTTGTTCATTTCATAGGTGAAAATCTGCCTATTAATCTTAATAACTTCTAAAATTCCTGTATTTACTAATTGATTATACACTATTTTTCTATCAAAAGAATTAGATTTACATTCATTAGGTTTTATACATCTTATATATTTAACTTGTGTACTGTTAATAATTTGAAGTAAATTTTTAAGTGAGCAGAAAAATGAACTGATAACAGTTGTATTGTTTGAACTTAAGTTAAATACATTTTTAAAAATATCTTTTTGAATTTTCACTTCTCTATTTTTTGTTATAAAATTATTAATATCATATTCTACATCTTTTACAAAATGTTTAACAATTAATTTATCATTAGATTTAAATTTTATACCTTTTTTTATATATGACATGATTTTTGTTCTTAAGTTATCAGTATTCCCAAACTTGCTTTTACTTTCTTCATCAATTAAATCAAACAAACCACATCTTCTTTCCATTTCATAAATTAAAGAAGAATTTGAGGCATATGGCACAAATTCATAATTTTCGAGTTCTTTTTTATATTCTTCTTGTTTTTTTTCAAAAATTTTTTGTATAAAATCATTTTGTATTTTTTCATTAGCATAATTAATGCATAATTGATCTAAAGAGTTTTGATTAAATATTTCAAATCCAAAAATATCTAAAATATTTATACAATGTCCACATGGAGCATTAAGAGTGGTATTAACATTCTGGACAATAAAATCAAAAATTTTTACATACAATGATCTACTAATACTGTCTCTTATTGTTATTGCCTCTTCAACTGTGTTAAATTTTACAAGTAACTCTTCATTAACCTTAATTTCCTTTTTAAGTAAAACACTTTCTAAAAGATTTTGATCAATTTTTAAAGTTTGACAAATAAAATTTACATGCTTCTCATCTTTTATGCATATTTTTTTATTTTTATAGACAAATTGCATAAATCCAAAGTATAAAATAACCAACAAAACATTTTCAATAAATTTAACATCACTAAATCCAAGATTATATAAAGCATTTTTTATATTTTTATAATCATTACATTTTCTATTTGTTGTATCAATATAGTCATTTTTAATATTAATATTTTTATAAGTACACAGTTGATAAAATATATTAAAATTTGATTCATCTTTGTTTTGGTGTGTAACCCTACTTTTTTCCAATAAAAAAGTATTAACTTTTATACCTCGAATAGTTTCATTTATAAAATAGCTTATCATTTTACCTACACGACTACTATTATCATTTAAAGCAGTTTTTGCATTACCAAAGCTTTCCAATATAATAGTCAATGCTTCAATTTTTTCTTTTAAATCTTTATTTGTACCTGTTCTTACAATTAAATAATCTTGTAATAATTTTGTATTTTCTGTTTTTCCAGATCCGCTTTCTCCAGAGATTAAAATTGTTTGATCTGAAAAAATCATATCTTGATAGGCACTTTCACACACACCATAAATGTGTGGATCACAGGATGTAGAATTAAAATAAGCATTCATTATATTAATTCCATATAAGTCTAAATTTGTATATGGATTTATAGAAATTAATACTAACCCCGCGTTAGTGTATATTTTGTTCGTAAGATATCTATCTTGTAAAACTTTAACAAGTTTTTCTTCTGTTGTATTACATAATTTGCATAAATCATCTGTGTTCATTGTTTTCGGGGGAATGAAATTTTTATAAAGAAGAATAAACCAATAAACAAAAAGGGGTACATCTGCACTAAAGAACTACACAAAAGGGGTAAAACCATCTTATCAGAAATAAGTTGGTGTTTATAGTGCAAAATTTTATTAAAAATGCAATGTATTGATATTTTTTTTGTTATGCATAAAGTAAAATGTTAAATATTTTACTGAATACATAACATAAGAAAGGCGGTACATTTAAATGTTGTTACATTTAAAATATTGTTATATTTAATATATATAAATTTTGTAAATATGTATATTTTACTTATCTCAATTTTATATCACTATATGACAAAAAATGCTTATAGTCTTGTAATTAAAATTAATATTTAATCTTTATAATTAATTTAAAACATGTGTAATTTTAACTGTAAAGTTAATTTAATAAATTTTTATGCTTTTAATTTTTTTTAAAAAAACCTACATTTAAATACACTTTTATTTCTCATTTGTAATAAATACATTTAACCTCTTATTAAAATGAAATAATGCACCTCCTAAATCAGAATTATTTTCCAAAGGAATCAGTGTTTTAGATTCTTTAATAAAAAATTTAAACTCTTCAAAATGTTCCAAATTAATCTGGTGCTTATCTTTAGGATAAAAATGAAATGCAATTCTTTTCAATACCAATTTTCTAAAATCTTCATAAGATGTATTTTTCATATAAACTAAAAAATTGTTTTCTCCAAATTTTATAACAGCTGTTCCTATTATTTTGTTTAAATCTACAGATTCAGAGTTTTCATTTAAACATTTAAAAAAGTTAAAAATTTTCCGCTTAACTTCTTGTTCACAAGGAATGTCAAGTACATCTTTATTTGTTGTAATTATCCTTAAGCCTGTTTTATATTTAGATACTTTTTGAATCTTAGAATATTGTAGTATGTCACTGTTTATCAACATGTATGTTGTATAGAAATATATTGTATACATCTCTAAGACTCCTTTATATTCAAAATAACTTTCTGTAGTAAAAGTGTACTCTTCATTTTGCATTTAAAACAGAAGCAAAATGTCAATATTTAAAAAATGTTTTAAACCTGACAAATAAAATTTTAAATGTTGATTTGACATTTAAAGAAAAATTACACCTATAATTTCTTTACATCGTTGTTTAAAATTTTTTTTGTCTAATCATAAATGGCTACTTATTTAAATAGTTCATTTATATTTTAAAATAAACATTTATTATTGTAGAATATATTCCAGTTATTTAAAAATTAAATATAAACAATATCACTAATTAATCTCACTTCTAAAACTACAATTCTCAAAGTTTTTCTTTATCCATAAAGAAATTTTAAAAAAGCCCATATGGAAAAATTTAGTAAATTTAATGACCCATTTACTGGTATAAATCCTTTTGTACAGGGAAAATTAAGAAGTTATAGCATTTTTAAATGTTTAATATTCTGCCCTATTTATCTTCTGAGTAAACTTCATCCAATATTTTTTAAATTACTGTTTTCTATTAAGATTTCAGGAAAGATAAATCAACAACCAAAGACAATGATTTGTAACTCAGCATCTACTTTTGATATACCAATATTAAAATATATCCTTGGTATAAAAAATTTTTATTTTTTGAGATGTGGAAATTTTTATGATAAAAATCAATTTTTAATTAAAAGGATTACTAAGCCTTGTATTGTTTTTGTTGAAGGTACTTCCACAAATAATAAATCTATTTTAAATTACAATTGTAATTTTAAGATAGATAGTGTTTGTTGTATAAAATATACAGAAGTATATTGTTATGGAAGTTATATTAGATATCTTGCAAGCTTATTGTCAAATGAAAATAAAATTGAAATAAATTTTAAACAAACACAAGATCCAAAGGATTTAATAAAAATAAGTAATCTTAAACAAGTAAAATTTACTTATAAAGATAAAGAAGAATTTAATAAATTATTAAAATAATTTATTTTTCAACAATTCCTGAATCTACTATTTTAACTATTTCTTTAGGTTTACCACCTTGAGAGCCAACTGCCTCCATTTCTTTTAGTATCTCAAGCTCTTTTTTATCATCATATATAACTTCCCCAAATACAACATGTTTATTGTTAAGCCAGTCGCATTTATTAAAAGTAATAAAAAATTGTGACCCATTAGTATTAGGACCTGCATTGGCCATGCTTAATAAATACTTCTTATCATGCTTTTTAATAAAATTTTCATCCTCGAATTTAGAACCATAGATACTTTTTCCTCCTACACCTGTTCCATGGGTAAAATCTCCCCCCTGCGCCATAAAATCTGGAATAATCCTGTGAAAAACAGATTTTTTGTAGCCATGAGGTGCCTCTTGAGTACAAAGTTCTCTAAAATTTCTTGTAGTCTTGGGTACCACATCATCATAAAGTAAAAATTTAATTCTTTTTGGGTTGCTGTTTCCGATTTGAATATCAAAGAAACATTTACTGGACATTGGGGTAAAAAAAATTATAATTTTTTAAAAAAGGTGTATTTTTTACAACTAAAGCTGGAGAGCCGAATTGAAGATTTTATTCAATCCAGAATACTTAAAAACCTGACTATGGACAGTCGCCGAAAAAAGGTGGACACTGAAGAAAATGAGGGCAGAGAAGAGTATGCTGGAATGAAGGAACCCATAGAATTGAATGGTGGAACGGGACAACTAAAGGCTTGTGTATAAAATTACTAAATAACTATCTATACCCAAATTAATGTGTTTTTTTTATTTTTTACATAAAAAAACAGCATTAATATTGATAGCAGAAAAAATTTTTATTTATAATTATTGTCGAAATACCAAGTTCCCATTATCCTTATTGTTAATTATAATTTCCTTTAATATTTTCAATTTTTTATCTCATGCAGAAAGAAAACAATTCAAATAAAAGTGTTGTTGATAATAATTATTAGTATTTTAATAGATAAAGAAAAATTTTTAAAGACGAAAAATGTTAATTTTTGTAGTCAAAAATATAAGTTCTTTACATATTTATCAAGAAACAAAAGTCAAAGATTTTTTGATAAAAATATACTAAATTTTTCATTTTATTCTTTTAAAAAAATATTTTATAACAATGTTGTCTTAGACACCTTTTATTCTACAGTCAACCATTGGACAACGTGTTCACTTATGACTGGCCAAAAAAATAAATCAAAATAAGTTCTAGAAAATGGAATGTAAAAAAAAACTAATTAAAGAAATGACCATAGGATATAAACTGAAGATTAATAAATTTTATTTAGTTAATTTTCTATAACAGATAAATACAGCGAAATATTGAAATTAATATTTAAAAACGTGCACAAACTTGATTTATGTAATTAAAAATGTGTTAAAAGTTTTAGTTTTTGAATCGTTATTGTTTTTTAATCATTTACATTTTAAAAGGAACTGGTTTATAATTATTAATTTAGCTGATATATTTTTCTTCTGTGTAGGAGGGGGGAGAATTTTGCATAAGGACTGGCTTCACTAATATTTATTTAATTAAATAAAGGTACTGTTTAATTTAAAATTTAATATTTAGCTTATAGCTTTTAACAATACAATAAAAAAAATTGAATTTATTAATACTGCAGTTATTTATTTTTAATTTTATTAAAATAGTATAAGAAAGCTTGACTTGAATTTAATCCAAATTCAAGTCAAAAAGTCATTATATTTTTATGAATGTAAATCAAAGAACAGAACAAATTACAAAATAATTAATATGTATGTAATATTTTATGTATAACAGTAATTAAAATTAATAATTTTTAATCTTCTAACGTTTGTATATCAAAAAATGTAGCTTTGAAAAAGACTTTCTTTCTATTTATAATAAATTAAAAATTAAAGTTTTCATTTTAAGTGTCTGTTTTAATTAATCAATATTAAAACACCCATATTATAAAAGAACATAAATATTTAGCTTAGAATGCATTATTTTAAACAAATTTTGTTTTTAAAAAGTTCTAATATCGTAAGAACTTTTACAATGTAAAGGTAAATAATTGAAAGTATGATTGTAGGACAGTAAAGATGTACACATGTCAATCAGCAGTATTGGGTTGATGGCTTTGATATGTCTGTTATATAAATCATAATTATTAAACAAATCCATGTTTTATCTCAACAATGACAACAGTTATAATCAATATAAAAAAAATTTTAAAATTTTATTGTGTGTATTCTGAAAAAAATTATATGTGCTTAAAAAAATAATCTGACGAACTGAAGTTTTCAATAAAAATTGACCAATAAACAATTAAATTACTAAAAAAAATTAAAGTTTTATCATTTTTATTGATAAAGTATTATATCTCGGCTTTCACTAGTAAACTCTATTCCCTTTTCTTTTCTATTTTCTACCTCATCAAACACTTGGCCGTTGAGCGGACAGAACATATTTACTATTAAAATATCAATAATAAGTCTTAAACCAAATACCAGGCTTTGTACTACCTGACGACTTGTCGGTGATACCACAAATGGAAATGTTAGGCTATTGATAGTGTAATTTAAAAATCCGTATATTCCTAAACACATACTTAATAGACTAATAGTATCTACTCCTTTGTACCCTATTAGAAAGTTATGTTTAGTTTGAAGTACTAAAAATAATCCAAGACAGAAATATATTTCAGCACTCAGAAATAAAGATTCAAAAAATACCGTTGTAGAAGGATTTAACTCTTTCAAATTAAAGTATAAAAATATCAAGACAGGGATTCTAAATACAGAATACAGTTTAGAAAAAGTAACAATGGATGTTTTAAATAGATTCTTACTATCAAATATACTATATCTAATATATGTAGAATCATATCGCTCTGTATTAATGTATGAATGTAGACAAGGTCCCCATAATCCAATCAACATAAAAACTGCAGACATTCTTAAAATCTTTGATATCATGTATACCACGTATAGTAAGGTACATAAATTTATTTGTACATCTTTATAAGTTATATTAAATGTCTGATTAATAAATCCATCTCTTTCAAACTTATATTTATCTAATTTAATATATCCACTTAAATACCATATAATAATGTTACACATACATGTCGAAAAAATAGAAGAAGTAATAAAGAATGATCCAACACTTCTTAATCTTGATTTATATGAACTTATTTTAGTAGAAGAAGTCTTATTATATCTCCACACAGTAAATAATAGTAAAAGGGTACTAAAAATCATTTCATTGAGGTAGCATGCTCGTAATGAATCGTCTGTGGAAGTCATTTTTATTTTGTTTTAAAATTAATTTTTATTTTTAAAATTTGAAACACAAATAAAAAATAAAAGGTGATGATTTGTGACTTGCAGTTTAGTATTATATTAAATTTAGCAATACATAAAAAAATTTAATGTAGTAAACTATCTTAAAAGCTTGTCATAATATACAAAAGCGTTTTAGATTATTTTTAAATTTTTTACCTGGTTGACTAATTAAAAAAATATTTTTAATTTATTAATTTTGATTTAGTAGCTATTTATGCATGTAAACTTTTTAAACAGTAATAAAGTGGCAAAGATTTATAGCAATAATAAGCGGATGTATTTCTAACGAGACATGACTTAATGACTAGTTTTTCTTTTTATTATGCTATCAAATAAAGAAAAACAGAAACTAAAAGCTATTTTTTAAGCTTTTTTACTAAAAAACTTTTAGTAAATATTGCCTAGAAATTTCTAAATACATATGTTAAAATTTTTATAAATTCTTACAAGTGTACGATCTTCTCTTTTAATTTTTAAAATTATTAAACCAGTTAACTAATTTAGCTTAAAAATATTTTATTTAGATATGCTTTACTTTGTTATGAATTTTAAGGTATTCTTCCAGCTCTTTATCTCCCCCTATAAATTCTCCATTGATAAAAATCGTAGGAAAATATTTGAAATTAAACTCTTTTAAGACATCTTGAACTAAATCGGGATGGTCTTCTTTCTTAAAAATTTCAGCATCAATATTATTAGCATATAATATTCCCAGTCCCTTAACTGTATCTGGACATTTTTCCATAGTCAGAATCCACGTTCTTTTCTCTTTTATTAATGTTTCTAGTAGTGACATGTTTATTTTTAGTCATTAAATTTAAACAAAATGTTTTAAAAATGTATAAGACTTGTTCTAACTTCTTAAGTAAACAAATAAATATTTTAAAACGACTAAAGTTTTAGTATGATACTTAAGACTCTTTACTTGCTTTTTATAAGATGTATGTATATTTTATAAATTTTAAATTTTCTTTCTAAAAGCAAAATGCCCTTTTAAAATGATTACTTTTAATGATTCCCCAATAATTATTAAAAAATTAGAATTTTTGTCAAAGTATTCATCGTTAGTGACAATAACACCCAACAGTCTTACAACTAAAAAGATACAAATAATCTTTTCTGACACAATTTCATTGATAAACAATGTAACATCACTTACTTTTAAGACAAAAGATCTTCTTCAATTACTTACTAAATCTAAAGAAGGAAATTTAATAGATAAATATTTTATAATCAAATATCATACATCAGAAATAGAGATTGAAAAGAAAATAAAAATCTTTGATGAAATAATTCAAATCCCGTGTAGTGAACCGGATTTAAGTATTAAAGTTAAAGAAATAAAAGTACTATGTGAAGATGATTGTATTGTACAGTGTAGTAAAGATGGATTATTTAAAATTTCAAGTAATAATTTAATTGAAACATGCACAATTTACAACAATTGTACGGTCATATCCCATAAAATTGACCATCTTAGTTTTAAAATTAAAAGTAAGGAATTAAAAATTTTAGAAAGTTTTAAAAGTGATAAAATTTTTTGTTTTTTTCGAGATTATATTCTAGTTTATATTTTAGAAGATAGAATTACTAATATTGTTATGGTAAGCGTATTACAGAATTAAAGAGTATAATTTAAAAAAAATAGAATTACTTAATTTTAGATATAAAAAATATTGAATCTCTAAAACAGTACTAATAGTTGTATAATATAAATATAAACTGTCAATTCTTTTATTTGAGTTTTCCATCCCTTAATTTTGGAGAAAACTGATATAATTACAGAAGCCAATAAAATTCTCGATTTTGACAACCGATGGCTGTGTGGAATCAGATGGCTACGGCATTAACTTCTCGGTTTGTAATGGTAATTCGATTTTGTGTATTATTAATTGTTGGGATAGAACATAAATTTATTAAGTAATTATTATTAAAAAATGGATATTTCAAGGCCATTAACTTAATATTGCTTATTAACATGTCCGCATCTTTACTGTCCTACATTAATCATAATTAATATTTATAGCCAAGATTGCATGTTTATTTGTAAATATTAAAAACCTTGGTTAACAAAAACTTTCTTAAAAAAATAATTAATTGTTGTGTATATCTATCAACATTTTGGCGTGCCGCAAAGGAATGCGACTAGTCTTAAAGTAATACTTTAATGAGCTTAAGACTTTATCGTTGCCGTCTGTTCCTGCTAGGTTTTAAAAATTACTCTTATTTCCAATTAATAATTTATTAGATTTTTTATTTATAAAAGGCATGAGTTAAAATTTAAAATTATTTTTGTAGTAAAATTTTTTTAATATGATTAACATGTAGTTGTAATACCACAATTTTGTTGGCAAAATATAAATATCGTTTTTTTTCAATCTTTTACAGTTATATTTAATTTGTATGCCTTCGCATTTTTTAATTTCCTTTTATAACTGTGCCGTTAAATTAAAGTTTGTAATTAAATTTCTAAGGGAATTTCTGCATTCTTAGTATGCATTGAATCTTAATTAATTTTAACCTTCTTTTTTTAATGCTTTTGTAGAAAAAACCTATTTGCTTCTTTGATATATATCTGTAACTTTAATCATTTTGTTAATCGTGATTACAAATCCTGTTTATTTATCTGGTTATCCTTCTTGTAGTATTTTATTAAGAATTTTAGTAAATAACTTTGCAGTAAGTTTATAGTTTTGTTATGCTAAAAAAGAAAGGGCTCGTTTGATAAAAAATTAATCAACTTTTTTTCATAAATTCATTAACATCAAAGCAATCAAGCGGTGTATCTTTAATATTTTACAGTCTCTACAATATATTATTGTTGTCAAAGAGTTAATATTTACAATTTTGTGTTTTTTACCAAAATCAGCGTGTTTCTAGACCGTTATAATTTCACTAAGCACTGTCGAGGTGTTACATAACAATTCTACATTTAACACAGCGTAAAATAACAAAGCCTTTATTATTAATTTTTTTCATATGTTAGTAATAACTTAGCGTTTTATTGTTTTTTACAAAATTTTCTAAAAATAATTTTAAGTAAATCATCTGTTACCCTTAGCGGGGAAATCGATAGAGGAAGACTGCTTTTTATTAGAAATATTTTTATTTGTCATTCTCTTGATATTTTTATTTCTTAAATACTTTTTGATTTGATACTAAACGTCTTACTGAACTTATTAGGTTTCAGGTGGTAGTTTCTGTCACAATACCGCGTGTTTAGTTACCAACGGGAACATCATCTTTTATTTTATTTTTTTTAAAATTTTAAGGAGGAATCTTTTTTATAAAGCTTAAAAATGTTAAATAACACTACCGTATCTACGTGAAATGGTGCGACTTTTTAGAAATGAAAGATATATATTTTGTGTGGTATAATCATTAGTTAGTGTCAATATTTTCAAGTGGGTTAATAGGACCCAGATCGACCAAAAAAGTGGGTCCTAAAATTTTTTATTTTTACCCCAAAAAATGAAATTCAGAAGATTGAAAAGAAAAGAATTAGAAAAAAATATTTTGGATAAATATGGTAATATTTATGGTTCTTTTGTAAATCTTGTGTAAACATCAGTTGTTCTGAGTATATATTCCGACTTTTCTTCCACAATTTGACCCGAGTAGTTTTTATATTTAAAAGGCTCAAAGATATCCGTCGATATTTTTCACATCTTATCGTTGGCTTGACGTATTAATCATTTATCTCGTCTGTAATTAATCGATTTGCAACGTTTATTAATTTGTGATATTTTTATAAGATTTTTAATATAAAGGTTACTTTTTAAATTATTAAATGTAGTCGAAACTCCTCTATGGCCTGATAATAGATGTATTTTTTTTAGAAGATGTATACTTTGATTGTCCGAGTCCTTTATTTGTCAAGTTGAACTATTCATTCTTGTTTAAACATTTATTTTTGATTAGTGTTTGATAGGTCATCTTCTTTTCTTCTAGTGATGATCATAAGCACCGTGACAAGGTGTCAGCTGCTGTATTTAATTTTCCATTTATATGAGAAATGGTGTGATTATATTTATTCATGGTTAGTTTGTATCTGTGTATTCGTGATGTAAGAGATTTTGTCTCTAAGAACAATATTGCTGTCTGTTCGTATCTCAATATAATAGCCTCGTATGATGCTGTCAAAGTGGATTAATGATGAAAGCATTGCCAGATATTCTTTCTCTACAATCGTATAATTTAATTCTGGTCTGGTAAATTCTTTGCTATAGTATCCGATAATTCTGTCTACTTGTACTAGTGCTGCACCGATACCTCTATCCTAAGCATCTCATTCTAGAATAATTTTTTTGGAATAATAAGGAAAAGATAGTTTAAAGTTTTTAAGTTCTTCACAGATTTTAATTAGTTCTTTTCTCGACTGTGGTTATAATACGTAATTTGTTGTGCCCTTTTTTAACATTTCCGAAATGTCTCCAATCCTAGTTAATAAATTAGGTACAAATTTCCTGTGCCAATTAAGTATTTCTACAACCTTTTGTGCGCTTTTGTTCAAATTTAATTTAATGTTTAGTATCTTTTTAGTAAGGTTGGCGGTCTTCAGAAAAATGCCTTCCTTTGTTACCCTATATCCTAGTATGTCTAGTTCGGTTGTGAATAATTTTGATTTGTCGAAGCCAATTTTTCCTTGATTGTCGTATAAGGCTCTGAGCGTTTTTGCAAGAAGTTGGGCATGTTTTTTCTTGGTTTTACTATATAACACATTGTCGTCGATATATAAGAAACAATTATCTATCTCTTTTAAAATATTAGCCAAGTGACGCTGGAAAGTCTTTGGTCCGGGCTTTATTCAGAATGGCATTCATTTATATTGATATTAATTATCTAGTAGAATGAAATCCGTGATTTCGCGGCAACTTTTGTCAATGGAAAGTTGATTGAATCCGTTTCTCAAGTCAATTTGAGAAAATATCGTTGCACCTTTTAATTTAGCTAGGCACTCTTTGATCTTAGGTATGGGATATAAGCAATCTTCGATATGTTGATTAATAGTTTAGTAATCTACGACTAAACGTAATTCTCCATTTTTTTGGGATACAAAGTGCTGAACTTGATATTCTTGCATTACTTTCTTCAATAATATCCTCTTCTATAAGTCTTTTTAATTCTGTTTTTACTTGAAAAACATACTTCATGGGTACAGAATACCGTTTAAATGGAAAGAAGGGTATTTTACTTTTAAGCTTAAATTTTACGTTAGAATTTTTTATTAATTTGAATAAGATATTATGCTTATATAGAGTTTAATTGCCTTTAATGTTTCTGTATCTTCATCTGATACCAGCAGACAAGCACTTTCATAAAGTACCTTGTCTAATGGTTCTTCCGGTGACATCTGATTTGTAAAAATGGCACAACTTGTCCATTTGCAAAGATAATTATTTTCCTTTTTATATTAATAATCGCTTCATTGTTATAAAGAAATTCATATCCCAGTATAAATTTCACAGGTATGTTCTTGAGGACATAAAACTTGATGTTATAGGATTTGTTATTCAACTTAATAGATTTATTAAAAATTTTATGAGTTGTTTCTCTATTCCCATTGCCAAATACCATTGTGTGCGGTTTAGTTTCTTCTGGTTGTAATTGTAAACGTTCGATTTCACTTTCTTGGATGTAGCTATATCTTGAACCAGTATCTTCTATAAGTTCCACTGTTTTGGTTTTAAGTTCATCTTGTATCTTTATGTCATCCAGAAAATTTAAACTTGATTCATTGATAATTAAATTATTTGATGGTTTGTCCTCTTTTTTGTTATTTGGGTTCAAGGAACAGTCTTTAATATGATGATACTTTGATCTATGAAATTTGCACTTTTTCTATTAAGAAACATATCATTTGTTCTTTGTTAATCCTTCTTTCATGTATTTGTAATGATATCTTTGCGATTAGAAGGTGTAGTATCCGTTGTTTAAATAATTATAGTTGCTTCTAATTTCCCGAGTAAAATTATTATTTCAACTAATGAGGCTGAATCTATATTTTATTTGCTAAGTTTGATAGTCGTATAGCGTCCTAAGTCTTTAAAAAAAATTTCTTCTTGTTTCCTCTCTATGTCCCTCTTAAATAAGTCGTTTATATGTGTGTATCCTTGTAAGATTTTAACAATGGTATCCATATATCCTTTTATAGTTCGATGATTCTTCTGGCTAATTGCGCAAATTTCAAAAACAATTTTTCTTAATTCAGTTTTTGGAAATAAAATGCCGAAAACTTCCTTTCTTACGGCTATGTATGTAGCTGTTTATGGTTAACCTATTAGTGTAATTTTTATCGCTAATTAAATATAAATATATTTAACCGTTCTGCGTATCGTCCCATGCATTGTTTATGGAAAGTCTTTCCAAACCCTTCAAATTGTTCTGTGTTTAAATCCCTTTTAATATCTCTTATTTTATGGGTATATTCCTTTATCTTTACTTGTATTTCTGGTATGGCCCGTTCAAATTCAAATAAATCTAATTTGTTGGTTTTTTGTGTATGGTGATTCTTTATCCCCATTGAGATAACCTGGGGTGTACACATGGGATGTGGCCGTTTTGGAGGTAACTCTCAAGAACGCCGTTGGTTGGCCATCTGTCCCACATGCATACATGGGTATTTAAGGTGTTTGTAAGAAAAAAAAATTATTTTGTAAATTGTGAGTTAGTTCACTGGGGTCAGTTCTCCTGTTAAAGTCATTTCTTTTGTTCATATATATTTTCATAGAAATTTTCTGTATTTATATTTTAAGGTTTCAAGGTGGACCAATAATCTTACTAAAACCGGCTTCAGATATGTATATGACTGAAACAGTTTCGTAAGCCGTTGGTCTGAAAATTATGTGATTTGTATACCACAGTTCTGTGTGTAAAAGCTGCACAGAACATGTTTTTATTAAAATAGAGAAAAGTTATGAATTTGTTAGATGTTGTAATAAGCTTTGTCCAATTTATAGAAAAAAGTCTCAGTTTGGAAGGACATTATTTTTGATAGTATAAATGTTTCAAAAATTGTTTTTTAAAGATTATTGAACCATGCTTAGCCAAGGCAAATATGTCTCTAATATCATTTATTTTACGAATATCAAGAAAGTGTGTGTATAGATTTTTAAAATAAGTTTCCGAACAATTAGTAGTAAAATTTTATTCAAATATAAATTACATAGGAAATAAAAATGAAATTATTGAAATTGATGAATCGTAGATAGGTGTTACCTTTGACCAGATAATTATGGGAGGAAGACTGCTTTTTAGTAGAAAGAAGTTTATTCGGCATATGTTTATATTTTCTTTTTTTGAATAGTTTTTGTTTTAATTCGATACAAAACGTCTTACTTATTTTTACAGTTTCAGTCGGTAGTTTCAGACTTAATACTGCTTTATTGGTTACCGACGGTAACAATAGGTAAAAGAAAATATAATAAAAATCATCCGGTATAAGGTGTATGGATTTTCGGGCTTTTTGAAAGAGCAAATTAGAAAAGAATTTTTTTATTATAAGTCAATGATAGAACGAAATCAACCTTAAGAAATCATTTAAGTAGAAGTGTAATACCAAATTCAATAATATATAGCGATTGTCGGAAAGGCTACACCAAATTGAAAGAGATTGGTGTAAGACATTCTACAGTAAATCGTTCTAAGTATTTTAAGAACCCAAATACAGGTGTTCACACCAATACTATAAAAGGATGCTGGTCTGCTCGGAAAAAAATTTACTATATAGATGTAAAATCAGAAATCTTATAAATCCTTACTTAGTACGATTTATGTTGACAAAAAACTACAAAAACAAACCTTTATACAATTGTTTTGAGCTTTTATTAAATCAAAGCCCAAAAGATGGCGCTACTTCATCTTTCCACCCCCCTTGTTTTTAAAAATTATTATAATTTTTAAAAAAATGATTGGCCACAAAAAAATTAAAATCTAAACATTTTTAATAGTCTATATAATGCAGTCCTAAGCGTCTTGTTATCGCGGTTTTGGACGTTTCGTTTCCTCCATTGCCACTCATTTAAAAAAAAATCAATTCTCCTTTTATTAATACCGCCACGTTTTCGATAGGCATGCTTAAGGTGTGACCACGGGTTTTCAATTTTGTT